AATCAAAAAATGGCTTGGGTTGGAAAAGACCTTAAGGGCCATCAAATTCCAACCCCAGCCATGGGCAGGGCTGCCCCCCACCAGCACAGGCTGTCCAGGGCCCCATCCCACCTGGCCTTGAGAGCCAGGGGTGGAGCACCCACAGCTTCTCTGGGCAGCCTGTGCCAGTATCACATCATATTTCTCTGGCCACACATGCAAGGAGGGATGAGAGCAGTGACACTGTGGTGTCTGTTTTAATCATGAAAAATCCACGTTGTACCCCGCCTGTGAGCCACAAGGCAGCATCACAGTGATCCATCCTGGTGAGCTGATGCAGATCGTGGCAAAGCAATGGGCAGAAGGCAAGAGAGGTGCTCAGCCATCAGGGAAACGTGTACGTGGATCTTCAGACAGTGAAAGGGACCTGAAGATAGGACAACTTTTCTTTGCCAGCTCCAGAGCCCTCAGAAGACTTCTCCCCAGCTAATGAGCAGAAACATCATTTTGTTTCTGGCTTTGAGGAGGAGATGCAGGAGGCACTGCCTTGCACAGGCTTGGTTTGGGTTGGATTAAGCTTACAAACTACACGAGTGTCAATTCTGTTTCACGGTAAAGAAATCAAACTGGACAGAAACGCCAAGCATTTATCAAAATGATTAGTACAGTTGCACAAGCAATGAATGTGGTCAAGGTGTACTTAGGCATGGTGTTTTAACGGAGAGTCGGAGCGAAAGCAGGGGCTGAATTGGGCCGGATTTGGAGTTCATGGCTGAGAGTAAATGCGATGGATAAGGAAGCCCCGTGTCATGCAAGGACCTGCAGCATCCTGGGACAGATCCAGGGTTGCATAAATCCAGGCTAAGGTCAAACCTATGCGAGAGAGAAACCTGCACTCCTCCTGCTGATGACAGGCAGTGGGCAGAGGGTTTCACCCATTGCCTACACAGCCCACTCTTCAAATAGGAAGACAAAGACTCTCAGCAAAGGTTTGAGCCATAAGGTAACCTTTCCTCTAGCCCCGGGTAAGTGCATTCAATGTGGTGTTCAGCAGTAAGATATGTTTTTCACCTGTTTGTTTCCCCTTGTAGAGGAGGTTTCATTATTCCAAGCAGCAAAGTAGGTTCTTCTGCTTGGGTAGGTCAGAATGAAGTGAGACCCTCCTTTCAACGTCATGTGAGTTCAATCAAACCAAATGCTGTTTCAGAAGACCCAAATGATGCACTTAGCAGCACAGAGATCACACAACCCCAGATAACTTTGTTGTTTGTTTGTTTGTTTTTCACTTTAAGGTATAAGAGATGTTTAAACACAGCAGTAAATGTTAATATTTTATTTTGCTGATTCTTCATCTCTGAAAATGAAAATGCTTGAACAACTTTTGCTCAAAATCTCTACACTAGCTTGGAGTTATGTTGTAGCTAATGCACAAAATTTCCTCTGGGAGAGGCAAAGATATTGCTATTAAGCACTAAAATTCCTTTTTTTTTTTTAATAACACCATATAATGCTAACTATACCAGAGGTCAGTGAGCATCCCCTCTCCCAGCAATACTTGATATTGCACAGTTAAACTAGAAAAATAAATTAAAAAGGAAAAAAAAACCCAAAAAACTAACAGTGCTGTCCATCCACCATGCCCTGCAGATCCCCACATCTCTGCATCTGATTTCAGGAATTAAAGTTTGGAGATGTGTGTCTTCCCTTTAAGCAGAGGAATGAGCGTGTCTAATGGGTAGGAACAGGGTCTCCCAGATAGCTGTGCTGCAGGTTTGCTTTAGGAGAAGTTGCTGACAGCCTAATTTTCAGATTTATGGAGCATTAAAGTTCCCATTGACTCCGTAACCAGGTGATGAATCTGTCTGTGCTTCATTTTTCTCAACTAGAAAATGAGAAGAAATGGCATTTCTGTCACTGGCTAGCTGGGAGGTTAATGCAATGATTATTAATAAGACTCTCTAATGACCTCTGGAGCAGCAATTCCCCAGCCTAGGGGCAGCTCCTAGCAGGGGCTGCAGTGCTGCTGAGCAGACCAACAGGCAAAGTAAGCAGAAGTGATTTTCCTAATGGGTCACTGGTAATCAGCAGTGGAGCCCAGGACAGGACTGTGGCTTCCTCATACACGTGGCCCATGTCGTTCTGCACGGAAGGAGATGAAGTCTCCCTGGGGTTCTGCAGCCATGCTGACAGCAGGTATCACAGCTTCCAGTTGCACAGGTAAATGGAGCTGCAGGCATAAAAGGCACAAACTTATAATAAGCAGGATTTATGTATCCAGAAGAGCAGAACCTATGCCGCTATTAAGGCTCACTCATCTATAGACACTACTTGTCTGCTCCTTCCTTTAGTGTCAGGTTCCTGCCTCATCCAACACATGGCTGTGCAGGACATGGCCAGTGATCACCTTCAGAGGGTAGAGAATACTGTAAAAGGAGAGCAGTTTCCTACAGTTTTACGAAATTTATGTGATAGGACAAGGGAGAACAGTTTTAAACTAAAAGAGGGGAGATTTTGATTAGATGCCAGGGGGAAATCTTTCACTGAGAGGTTGCCCAGAGCTGTGGGTGCCTCATCCCTGGAGGTATTCAAAGCCAAGTTGATGGAGCCCTGGGCAATCTGTTCTAGTGACTGACTTAGTGGTTGGCAACCAGGGAGTTGGTATTAGATTATCTTTGAGGTCCCTTCCAACTCAAGCCATTCTATGGTTCTATGATGAGCTTCAAAATCATGTTCTTTATCCTGGTACAATGCACAGGTATCTCTAAGTAGTAGCATCTAATCTTCCCCTAGGCTGCATGCATTGATTCTGGAACTGGTAATGCAAGGTAACCCAGGAAAGGGGAAAGAAAGGTCTCTGGTGGTTAGCAGACGCCATAGGCTGCTCAGTGTTCATCAGGGAAGCACAGAGAATGTCTGCTGCCAGAGCCTCCAGGAACTCATAATGATTTCCTGAAGCTCAGTATCGTAGAGTTGGCCTTCAGGCACTGCAGCTGCTGGTGCTCAGCTCCAGCCTGCGGACATAGGCAGTGTTGTGAGAGACAGTTACACCAAGGGGAAACAGCTCACCTCCAACAGCTTTCACCTGTGCCATGTTTTCCTCCCTGGGGCACAGCCACCAACAGTATCAAGAACTGCGTGGCTTTCCAATGACCAGACAGTATTTTGGAATGCATGAAGCATGCAGACATACTATTGCCTTTATTATTGCTTGCTACGACTTTGTTTTTTCCCTGGGTAACATAACAGTCCACTGCAGACACTCATCCCTGTAGCTTCTGATTGCTCTGAGAAACAAGGAAGTGTTGCTTTGCTTTCTTTTAGCAAGAGGAAACATAATGCACACAGACATCAACGGCCAGGCTCAAAGAAAGACATTTTATCGCTCCTCTTTGGCTTCCACTGAAATTCATGGGGATTTGTGTGTCTCAGTGTCTTTGTGGAGTTAGTCCTGCCACTTGCCAGCCAGAAGGCTACTTATAATAATAGGGTGCAGAATTTTTGGCTCAAAACAAAACAAGACCCCTCAAAATTCCCAAGAAAGGAAACTTCAGTGGCAGCAACACAGAGTTAACTCATGGGAGTGACTGTAATGGCAGACGTCAGCTTGTAAAGGTGAGACTGCTGACCCAGATTGCAAAGAGAAGCAGCTTTGACTTCTCTGGCTCAGGATTGTCAGTCAGTTGACTGACTGAAATCAGTTTTGGTTATTGTTGGTGTTTTTTTTTTGTTTTGTTTTGTTTTGTTTAATCAACATTAGCAGTAAATACAAAGGCAAATGCCTGACTGTATTCTAGAGGTCAGCAACAGCGCTCCACAGCTGTCCTTGCACATCAGGATCCGTGGAGCATAATCAGAGCTGTGTTGCACTCCTTTTGGGAGACGCAGGATCTGGCCATCCATGGCACACATCAGATAGCTGACCAACACTGCCTACCTGCAGCTACCATTTTCTCCCAGACCAGTTTTACCAGTTATCATACTGGTTTGGAAGGCACACTTTGCTGCCTGTGCTGGGAGGAGTGCTGCAGAACTCAGCTCTATGGGCATTTCCCCATACCTGGTTATGGGATTACCAACCTTGGGGGAATGCCCTAGAGTTTCACCAGGTGCTTCAAAATCTCTTTAACCATAGAGAGCTGATGGCAGGCAATACAGTTAGTCAATGCAAAGCAGGCTATGTGATTCTGTAGGCTGTTTGAAAAGAAGCAACTGTTTTTTTTTTTTAACAATACAAGTAGTGAGGCAGCGGCATAGGCTGCCCAAAGAGCTGGTGGTTCCCTGCCGACACAGAGGTCAGGCTGGATGGGCTGTGAGCACTGACGGAGCTGTGGGTGTCCCTGCTCAGTGGGACCAGATGGCATTTAAGGTCCAAGTCAGACTGTTCCATGATCCTACACTCAGGAGCAGACAGTTGCTGTTTGATGAAGCCTCTGCCCTCAGCATGGTTCACAACACCCTAAGTCTAAGTCTAGGGAGGAACTGCCTTTGGGGGCAGGGGCTCCTCGCAGGGCAACCAGCACATCCCTGGGGGCTGCCGTGTGTACCGATGGCCAGGACGCAGAGCTCCGAGGCTGCCATCGCTAAGGACCGAAGGGAATGGCAGAAGAAGCCAAGAGACCCCTGTCAGACTGAGGCTGCGCTTCCTACGCGTGCTTACAGAGGGATTCCTGAGACTCTGCTCGAAATCCCGGCCCGTTCGGGAGCCTCTCAGCGCCCCGAGGACCCTCACAAAAACACCCCCTCGCACACCAGCCGCACAGCGGCCGCCACGGGCCACGCTCCGCCGCCCCGCCCTGAGAGGAGGAGCCCCGCCGCGGGCTGCGCATGCGCGGCGGCGGTGTCCGCCTGTCAATAAAGATTGAACAAGCGCCGGGCCGGGGGGTGCGCGGGCGGGCGCGTTTTGTTGGTTTTTTTTTTTCTTTTTTTTTTTTTTTTTTCTTCTTCCTCTTCGAACAAACTTTATTGTTCCGGCGGCGCCGCGCGCACGCGATGCGCTGAGGCCGCCGCGCTCGGCCCCCGCTCCGCCCGGCCTCGGCATGTCGGGCAGCCGCCCGCCGCCGCACCCCGCCGCGCCGCCCGCCGCCCCGGCCTCCTCCTCCTCTTCTTCTTCTTCCTCCTCCTCTGCGGCCATGGCGCCCGGTTCGTCCTCTTCGGGCGGCGCGGCGGCGCGGCCCGTGCTGGTGGCGGCCGCCGTGTCGGGCTCGGGCGCAGCGGCGGCGGCGGGCGCGGGGTTGGCCCGGCTGGCGGCGGCGGCGCGGCCCGGTGGCGGCGGCTCGTCTGGTGGCGGCGGGGCGGGAGGAGGGGGTAGGAAGAGGCCGCTGCTCACCCCGCTCTGCAACGGGCTGCTCAACTCCTACGAGGACAAGAGCAACGACTTTGTGTGGTGAGTGCGGGGATGGAGGGGGAGCGAGGCCTCTCGAGGCGGCCCTCGGCCCTTCCCGCGGTCTCCCCCGCTCTCACAGAGGGCTCCCGCCGTTCTGTTCCCACTGCTCAGCTGGAGGATCCCGCAGCCGGTCCCGTGGTTCGGTTGCTTACTTGTTTGGTTGCTGCGCGGGGGCTGTAAGGAGTTTCAGAAATCCCTCTGTTAGGGGCCTGGAACATCTCCCCTGGTGAGGGAAAGCTGAACTCGTGGCTGTTTATCCATGCGACTTGGACCGGCATCTTTTGGTGCTGCCCAGCAACAGAATGAGGGACGGTGGGCACGGGTTGCAAGATAGGGAGTTTCATACCAAAGTGAGGTAGAAGTTCTTTGGGGATCTGATCAATCTGTATAAATGTCTAAGACGTGGTATGCACCAGGCTCTCTTCAGTGCTGTGTCGTGACAGGACAAGGGGAAATGGCCACAAACTCGAGCATAGAAAGTTCCACACAAATGTGAATAAGAACTTCACAGTAAGGGCGACAGAGCACTGGAACGGGCTGCCCAGGAAGGTTGTGGAGTCTCCTGTGGAGACACGCATTCACTTGGGTCTTTAGTACCTGTGCAACCTGGTCTAGGGAGCCTACTTTGGCAGGGGGTTGGACTAGATGGTCTCTAGAGTTCCCTTCCAGCCCCTGAAGTCCTGTATTTCCTTACTATGCAGATGGCAGAGCAGTAGAACAGGCTGCTCAGAGTGATGGTGGAGTTCCCTTCTCTGAGAATATTTAAGGCCACTTGAGCACTGTGTTACCTATTGTAGGGAACTTGCTTTAGCAGAATTCCCTTCCAACCAACCCCTATGATTCTGTGTCCCCTTGGCCATCGCTTTTATTATTTTTGGGTCACTATAAATCCAACGAAACTGATGTGGGCCTTTCTCTGTTAGTTGGAGGTAAGTGTTTGTGTCAGTCCAGCACCTAACCCCAGATAAGTAGGGAACTTTTGCGATGATGAGAAACATTTTCTTTCTTAATCCTCTACATATGTTGTCCTTCTAATGTTCAGAACTTCTGCAGTGATGAGAAAAGCTTTCTTCATTGAACCTCCCCACATGTCATCCTTCTGATGTTCAGCCAGGGCTGCTGCTTGTAGCTGAAAATACCCATCCAGCAGATGTGGAAGAACAAGGCCCGGTGCTGTGTCTGCTGTGGGAGCTGGTGGTAATTCTCAGTTTAAAGACAGGTTGCGGGTTTCAAATCTTCAAACATTAGGAGGAGGTTTGGTGTTTATGGCTGGGTGGATGGATGTACTAAAATGTGAGAACAGAAAGGTAGGGTGAGTGCTCTCAGCTGATGTTGAGAAGAGACCAGAAACAAGCGTGAGCTGTAGGAAAGTCATCGGCTGGAAGTACAAGAGGAAAAGAAAGTGGACTGCAGCTGCCAAGGTGGCCCTGTCTGACTGCTGACTTACAGGGGAGGATTGGATGTTTGTGTCTGCAGGACATGTGTTGTAGCAAAGCCCCATGGACTTGATCTTAAACTGTCAGAGTAGATGGGAAGTATCCTTGTTACTTAAGTGAAGCTGCTGAGAAGTTGGAGGCAGGAAAAACAGCAACTACTTCTTGCTAGTAATGGAAGTAATTTTTGGTCATTACCTGTCGCTGTAGGTTTGCTTTGTAGTGGAATTGGGGTGAGCAGACAGCTGCTATTGGCTGGTGTGCTCTGTCTGAGCATGGGCCATGTGAAGTGGGTTTAAGGGTACTTGTTTGGGGAAATAGCTGCTTAGTTGCTTTGCTACTTTTTTTCTGGTTATGGTAAGTGATGTGATGATGAATGCCCTTGTATATTCGTTATGGTGTGGTCTACAGCCATCACTTCCCATCCCTGTCCAGTCAGTTTATGCTTTGTTGCGAGTCATAGGAATAAGGTTGCTGAAAGCAAGGGACATCAAATCCTTACCATTATGTTTGTAGGACAATTTGAGTGCTTTGAGTCCATTCAAAAAGCAGAGTTGCATGCTGCTATTTTTTTTTTTTCCCTGCAGGTAAGTGCTGCAAGGAGAGTAATTAATTGTTTTCTCCTCATTCAGGGATACTGCTGGCTGAGTAAGTGAGAAGGGAAAAAAAAAAAAAAGTCAGCTGAGCAGTAATCAAGGCAAAATACCTTTACTGCCCTTTTGTACTTTAAAGGAGAGCCACGCTGGGTCTACTTAACTATAGGTCAGAAGCTTTAAGAGCAAGTAATAATTATAGTAACTTACCTGGGTTCTTCACTGCCATGTATGCCAGTGGGCTGTAGCACCTGCTATTAACAATAGGTTTGAATTATAGCACTCATCTCTTTTCTTGAAGTAGCAGTACAGTTATGCAATACAGAAGTGAAAACTCAACTGGCAACTTTGAGTAACATCCAACAAGACAGGTGTCTGTGCAGGTTCGAAGAATTGGTTTAAACAAGCTTTGGCTATTTTAGTCTGAGAAGAGAGAGCTTCAATATGCAGCTTTTCCAAGGATGCTTTCAAGACTCTGCCAGATGCAGTGGTCGTTCAGTGATCTTCCTGCGTATGGATTGTGAGTTACTGTTAGATGCAGCCGGAGATTTGGCATCAGATCCTGCCTATACCAAACTGAAGCTGGAAGAAAGGCTTTCAGGTACACAACTCACCTGAACTTCTTTGTGAAAATCCTGTTGGTAGCCTAAGTGCACAGCCTCTCAGTCTTCCAAAAATGTGCTCTCAGAAATGTGAGGCTGAGGCTTTAATGCAAATGCTGGCATACGCTGCTAGTCTGGGTTGTGAAATCTTGAGCTCGGGGGTTTGCAAATAGGTACTGTTTGTAGTACTTTTCAGCTTCTGCCTGGAAATGTGTTACGCCAGACCAGGAAAGCACATATGTGTGACTTCCTAGACAACTTTATGGTGATAGGGGAAACTTTTTGTTCCTCTTGGTGTAGGATGTAGAATTTAAAGACAGACTTGGTATTGCTTGTGTAGCCGAGCCTCTTTCCAGTTGCCTCAGGAGTGTCTGAAAGGGAATTCTCTAATTGGAGGATTTCCTCCTCTGTAGCAGTGTAATTGCCTATGGTTTTCCCAGGCCTTACCTTAACCCTCCCAATTAATGGTTGACTAAAACTTTCTAAAACCAGTTGCCAGTTGTTTTGCTTCCCAAACCGGGGGGAGGCGGGTGGTCTGAACTGCAGGCTGACTTTTCAGTGGCTGCTTCATTTCAGTGCTTGTTTGAGCTCTGACATAAAATAAGAGCATATGGAAGAGAGTATATTGCATACAGAGGTACGCCCAGCTAACTTGGGTGTGGGAAGCTCTGCTTGCTACGTTTGAAGGTAGGCTTGTAGGTCTTTAAAACCAGTTCTTTCTTTATGTGTTTCCATGTTAATGATGACATGTGTAAGTATAGTTGTTTGTATTCTTGTGATCTGCTGTTTGAGCTTTGTATCAGGCAGATACTTGACGGCAGTGATCTTTATTGTTTACACAGAGCTTGACCGTTCAGAGCCTGTAGCCAGTGCTGCTCTCTTAGATCCCAGAAGAATGGAGTAGGAGGAAGAAACTTTAGCAGGTCTGCTTTGCTGCGGAACAGAAGGAAATATGGAATGTGCTTGAGTTTTATAATGACTGCTTCAACCAGATGCACAGATAAGCCTTTGTGGTTTAGAAAGTGTAGGGCAGGTAATTGTTTAGTCAATAGGTATCTGTATCTGGTAAAGAGCAGTGAAACTGGTGGCTTTCTGGAGTAATCTGCACCTTTTTTACATGACTCTGCTTCTTGAGTCCATCAAACAGCGAATGGGAGCTACCTCAAGTGTAGGGGCCTTAGTTTCACCATGCCGTGTGCTTCAGTGAGTGCTGCAAGCTGCAGTGAGACTCAAGTTCCTGTCTCATGCCTCTGCTCATTTCTTAACTTTCCCTCTGTTAGGCTAACATAAAACAACTGGTGCACAGCAACTTCTATGGGTTTACAGCTAGCTTGGCTTTGATAAGTATCAAAGACATCAATCTTGTTTCCCTTTGTAAGTCACTGAGTATCTGGGTTGAGAAATGGTTCTGAGTGGAAACTTCAGGCTCTGTTGAGAATGACACTGGAGCTGAGTGGCTATTTTTGCAGGCTCTATTTGCTTTTTCTCAGCTGTTTTAGCTCTGTCACTTCTCCAGTCAAACTGGTATGAAGAAGAATAAGTTGGGAAACAATGGTCTTGGATAGCTGTCATGTCAGGGGGGTGTATTCCTCCTTTAGCTCTAATTTCTGATGTCTTGCTGCAGACAGAAGAGCCTTGCAGCTTTGTTGTTTCCTGTACTTATTGCTAGGAGCGTACCAGAGAAAATGCATCTGATGCTGCACAAAACAGCAGTTTTTAGCCCTTGTCTCCAAATAATGCCATGTTATATGGCTTACCGGGGGGCAGCAAGGTAATGAAACTCTTCATCACCAGTGGGGAGAGACCAGCCTCAGAGACCTTCATCCTCTGTCTCTGTAACCACAGGTTTTTGACTTTCTTTGTATTCTGTTAGCTAGCCCCTAAGGGATGCTTGATTTTTTTTATTTTTATTTTTTCCTCTTGTTCATACATCCTTGTTGGCCAAGTTTGTTGAGAACTTATTCTGACTAAAAAGTGCCTTGAAACTAAGTTGCTCCTGTTTTAGAAACAAGTGACCTTAATGCCTTATGTGGTGCGGCTTGGGACGACTGATTCACAGTAAGGGATCTGCTGGGGCACCAGAGGAGCAGGTGCCAGTTAGTTACTTAAGTTGCATCTTTATTCTTGCAGTGATGCAAAGAATAATGTTCTACTTAGCTCACAGTTGTGTTCATGTAGCAGATTTTCTGGGGTTTTTAAGACAACCTAGTTTGTGTATCAGGTTGAACAAACTTAAAGGCATCCATCCTTCCCAATTTGGTCACTTTGAGGGGGATTTAGTTTGCAGTGGCCATGGCTTCCACTCTCTATGGGCTTAAAAGATATTTTAAAAGATGCTGCTCCTCCTTTTAAATGCTCAGTGGGTCCTAGATAAAAGTATCCTCTGAAAAGAGTGGTGGGATGTGGGGAATGACTGCTGTGATATCTTTTTCAGGCTCTAGGGGAGAAATTGTGGTGAAATAGAGCCTGCTTAGCTAGGCATTGCATGTTTAGTCCGACATCAAATGCTTTCATCTTAAATTCAGAAAAGAGTTGTGTAAACAGCAAAGGCTGTTAGCAGTTTTTTAACAGGTTATTCTATGAGAATGCATCTCCTAAGGGGAGGCTGCTTGTGAAGAAAGCAGCTGCTGGTTAACTTCTCTCCGAGTGCAGGTTTGTATGGGCTAGCAGGAATGTGAGGATAGCATTGGAATCTCTGGGCTTGAAAGCAAGATGTAGCTTGTGGCACATCCACTGCATGTGTTGCATAGAAAGTTATGATTCTGTTGTCCACAGCACCTTGCTAGATAGCTGATCAAATTCTGAAGGCATTATGTGACAGCGTGTCATGCTAACCATCACTAGCAGCAAATTATAGCAGGCACTGGGAGTCACGTGCAGCTCTTCTGCTTTTGTTTATCTTCCTTTTCCCTTCCAAATCCATTGCAGCCACTTGTCGAGGAGGCTGATACCCTGCATTGCCATCTCAGTAGATCCCTTTACCTCCTGCCTGCCCTGGGCTCTGTGAGCTGCGTGTCTTGCTCTGAGTGCTGTGCTTGTGTTGGTTGAGAAATAGTTCTGGAAAGAGCTGAAGCTTTGGTGTCTGGCTGCATTCTCCTGTTTTCCTAATTTGGGTTCCCACATCCTCTCTTCTGTTTTCTCCTGTGACTCTGAACACTGCTGGTCTGTTGGTTCCCACTTGTTGCAGTATGTAACTCCAGGTGTCCTTCTGCTCTGCCTGCTGTCTGGTGTGCCCTGCAGGGCACAGCCCTCACTGGCACCTGTGCCTCAAGTTTATTACAGCTGATTCTCATACCATCACTACTGAGTCATTTCTTTTAATTGTGCCTAGCTGTTGGCTGAAAAAAAAAAAACAGAATTAAAAACTGATCTTGGTGTCACCTAGACATAACTTATGTTAAAAATAGTCTAAGGTCAGCTTGAATTGGCCAGGAGGTTCTTTGCTTGTCATTGGCTCTATGGCTTTGAGTGGTTTACAACTTTTGAAAGCTTCAAGGGTGAACACGTACCTGGTTTCCAGTTGTAGCAAGCTGCAGTATTGCTCAGAGTTCAAAGAACTGTTGATTGCCCTTTTGATCTTTATACTGTCGAGTTGCTGTTGCGCTTTTTTTTCCTGTTCTTTTCTATTTTACAAACATAAAAGATTACACTTGTTTGCGTGGCTGCTTCAGATTAATAATACTTTAGAAAAACATAACTGGGTTGTTTTTTTTGTTTTTTTTTTCAGTCCCATCTGCTTTGATATGATTGAAGAAGCCTACATGACAAAATGTGGACACAGCTTCTGGTAAGATCTTTGTATTGCACAGATCATCCATCCTGTATGGTGCTTGAGACCTAACGTTGCTGTGGATCACTTTCCTTGTGAGTTGTTCCTTCTGTTTTCTGGCCTTACATTGAAGACATTGAAATCAAGTTTTAAGAGGTGGTTACCACCAGTTAGACTAAAAAATTCTCCTGAGTATTTATAATGAAGCTTAATGCTACCATACTTCTGTGTAAAGAAAAAAATGGTTGTAAACTGTTGGTAGCACTCCATGCCCAGGGTCAGAGCTGTTTCTGTTGGAAATGAAAAGGTTTTTTTCTATTGCCATCTAATGCAGTGGGTGTTGCTGTTATAAAGGTCATGAAAGCCAGTGTTGGTGTTGGCAGACCCTCTTTGCTTTTGGGCGAGACCTTACACAATTTGAAGAGGCCTTCACGTTATCTGTTGCAATTCTACTAAACCTAAGAGAGAGGGTATGCTTCAGGCTTGCTTCTTTATTCACTCCTTTATATTTTTCTCTTTGCAAAATGCTTACTAGGAAACTGTTACATCAGATTGGCTTGAGGTTCATGTATTTTTCAGTGTGTTATCCCAGGCTTTCACAAGCAGCAAATGTTTGAAGGACAAGAACCCTCCAGGTGCAGGTTTGGAGTTGCCTGCTTCCCTGGCTTCAGCTAAGGATTGGAATAAGTGTTGGCCCATGAGGTTTTAATGTCTGGTGTGTACTACACTCTTACAGTGCCTGTTAAATAAAAAAATAATCTCCTACTTTTTACTAGTAGTATTTTAGGAGCATAAAACAATCACCTTGAGAAGCAGATTCTGTTAGCTTTCAGGCTATGTTTTGTCCTGCATACAGGTGAGGTAGCACTTGACTCTGTGCTTTGTACATAATGCTTCATTACAGATCACTGGGATTCTTTTTAAGAAGTCCAAGATGAAAGGCATTAGAGTACAATTATTTAGGTACAAGAGAGCAATGATGCATCATTGGATGTTTCTTTCTTCAGTTAACTTGAAGCTTGGTAGGGAGTGAGGTTCTTTAGCTCTGTGCTGAAGTGCATCTTTTTAGTCCATTCCTCAAGTAGCTAACTAGTTTATCACAGCACCTTCAGAGTGCTTTATATTAAGAACAACCACTGGGAGGTGGGGGGAGAAATGTGAGACTCTTTTAGAGGTCTGTGCAGTATTATCTGAATGTGCAGTAGCTTTCAGTGTCACTTGCAAAATATTTGGCTGATGCAAAAAAGTTGCTTCTGCATAATGCAGTTCATCTGCCTGCTGTAGCTGTGGAAAAGGAGCATGAATTCAAGACAGAAGCATGACTGAAGTAGCCACGTTGTCACAATTCTTACTGAAATAAATGAGTGAAATACTTAAACACAATTTTGTAATCCTTGCCAACTCCAGTTTTTGCCGTAGCCTGCCCTTTGTCAATATTGGAATGCCTTGACTCCACTGTAGGTAGCATCTTGGCAATGCAGCTGTTAACTAGCCATCCAAAGGAAGTACACGTTATCCAAGGTTTATACGATTTCCTTTGTGCTTGTATACCTTTTTATTTTCTGTTTATTCTCTTCTATTTTCTTTTTTTTTTTTTTTTTTTAATAGCTACAAATGTATTCACCAGAGCTTGGAAGACAACAACAGATGTCCCAAATGTAATTATGTTGTGGACAACATAGATCATCTTTATCCCAACTTCTTAGGTGAGCTCTAGGTTTGTTTGTGTAAGTAACATCTTAGTTGTGATGGGAGATACGTACTTGTAAATTCATCCTATAAATAACCCACATGCAGAGATTGAAAATGAAGTCCAAGCATCAGCCCTTTGGTCAACTGTGTTTTAAAATAAATAAATACACGTGGCTGGTAGTATAAATTGTTAATACTCCACTGCCTCCAGCAGTTCTGTATGCTGAGTTACGGCAGCAAGACTGTGATTTGCTTTTTATAGCATGCAAACAGCAGCGAGATGATGATGTTTTATGGTGAGTAGAGATTTCAATCTCTATAATTACTTCTGATTTCTTGTGCTGTCATTTGTTTAATAACCAAGAACTTGCGCTGTTTCTGAAGTACAGATGCTGATGTGGGGAGGCTGAATGGTGCTACTTTGACTGCCACAGTGTGGCTCATGTGATGCATCTTTGCGTCTAAATTACATGCAGAAAATATTTGTATATGTACACAGTGCTACTTAATTGCTGCAGAAACAAAGAAGGGGAATAGTTAAATACTGTGTTACAAGGAGAAAAGATCCGAGTGAAACATGTTGGACTATGAAATATCGAAATAGAACCAATCTTGATTTCATAGCTGGGGTATTCATTTAGTAATAGCCTCTGAGCCACAGTAGCCAATGTGTTTGTGTAGCAAACAGATGTTTCAGAAACAAGCACCCTGACTTAGCCCCGAGCATGCTGTGCTGAAGGTGGTGCTAAGGCAAGTTGTGCAGGGTATGTTAGGCTGAAGCATTGTTTCTGTACACTTACAGTTAAGGGGTCTGCTTTGGGAGAAAAAGAAGTGTGTGTATGGGAGAGTGGTGAGCTTACTTCTGTCTCTTTACCATACTGGTGTGAAATAAAATATGTTAAGCAATGAACATAGTGATATGAAGGAGAAAGTTTTTGTTTGGCTGCACTTGTTCTTGGCCTGTAGTAAACCTGTTGATGTTTTGTCTCCTTCAGACTCTTCTGTGATGTGTTTTTCAGTTCCAAGACAGATACACTGGTGCTTAGAAAAATGAACTGGAGGAATTTTGTTAATGTGTAGGCATTATATTTGCTGATGACTTCTTATGTGTCTTTATACCCTTCGCAGAATATTGTCCAGATAGTAAATTGATTAGAGAAAAATGTCTGTAACTTCATATTGTTTTAGTTGTTAGTAAACTGTCTGTGTAATTGAAAATAAAAATTGGGATGGATTTTCTCATATTTTGAGTTCTTAAATCTCTCTTCTGATACCTCTTTTTTGTTTTTGTTCTTTTTTTTTTTCCCAGTTAATGAACTTATTCTTAAACAAAAACAGAGATCTGAGGAGAAACGATTCAAACTGGACCATTCAGTGAGTAGCACCGTATGTTCAACCTTTCTTACTTTATATTTATTTAAATATTCTGTACAACAATTGTCATTATGGGGCTTAATTTGTTAGAGAATATATCATCAAGCTGGTGTTTTAATATGCTCTGTGGGAGAATAACACCAATATCAGTGGCACTGTATGTCATGGAATGTACTGAATATAACCTGTGAAACTACCAGTGAAAGCACACTTATTTAAAGGTAACCATCTTTATTCAGTGCTGGAAATGGCTACTGCATTAAGACTAATAAGTAATAGAGGCTTGTCTGATCACGTGTGAGAGGTTAGGTTCTAAAAAGAAATTGAAGGAAGGATAATACTAACCACAAGAGGGAGAAAGATGTGTTTGGAGTACTGCTGTACTGGCTCTGATCCCAGATACAACTGCCTGGTTCTCTTGTAGGCTTTGTTCATGTTGTGGAATCAGAGTGCAATTTAGGCTGAGCTGTGTTCTCTAGAGGAAATCCCTCTGCTGTAGCAGTGGATGCTTTTGTACATTTCAGAGCAGTACATGATATTAATCAGAAAACTTGCATAATATTTGTCTTAGTTCTTCAGGTTTCCTTCCTTGGCTTCCGTAACTCGTAAATAAGGATGCAAAATAAATATGTTCAGTTAAAAAAAAAAAAAAAAAAGAAGAAATCTCTATTGAAGCCTTATTAATTTAGGGGTTACACTGTAGAAAACAATGCTTCCAGCACCAATGTGCTTCAGAAAAGAGTACGCTTTCAAGATTCATTGGCTTACTTACCACCCATTTTCTACTGAAGATAAAATGGAAGAGATTTAATACCTAGCTTTAAAATTCATACAGCTAACCTGAAGGAATGTGCAGCAGCTTTTTGGAAATCAATTCTGCTTTCTCACAGTGTGCCATTAAAACTATACTTGTGGATGCTTCTATGTTAGATAACTGTGAGTAAGTGGAAAATCAACTATGACCTTACTCCAAAAACACTATTAGCTGTTTTTGCCAGCAAACAAAAATACCACGTCTTCTAAAACAAGAAGCCTTGATGCTGCATGTGCTGCTTAATGTGCCTGTTCTCTTAACATCAAATGTAATAAAAGAAGTTGAGACATATAACAGCAAATGAATCCTATGCTGAGTGCTGTTTCTTGGCAGTGGATTTGTCTCGTTAATTGAAGAAACCACATTAAGGGATCTCTGAAACTTTCTAAATCATTTAGTTGAATCCATTAAGTAATAGCACCAGTACGTAAGGACAGTTTTCTGGTCCCTTCAGTGATGGCTAAGGCAAGATTCACATTGTGTGTAGCATTAACAAATCTACAGCATTCTTGTCCATACTGAAAGTGCAGTTCTAGAATCTGATATCTGCAAATATGAGTCCTTCTTTCTCTGTACATCTCATTTTACTCAAATACCTCTTTCTCCTTACCTAATGAGCCTGACGAGCCTTTGAACGGTGTTCCAATTACTTTCTGTTTCTGGAAGGAATTTATTTCCAGGTTAATAATTTTCAGGTTAATATTTTGTCTTTTTTGTCCTTTCAAAATATTAAATAAATAAAAATCTTCAATAGTTCAGCAAGTTCACTGTTAACTTCTCTTTTTCATGAATCTGGTGCTTGTTCTTTCTTTCCATTCTTAGAAGAGTAAAAGTACACCCTGAAATTTATTCTAGGTTGTATTATTTAAAATTTCTCTATAAGCATATTGACTTGATTTGAAGTTATACGTATATTTTTTTTCTAGTTGTTCCAGATTGAAATTGAGATTTTTGTCTTTGCTGTTCCCACAGGTTTTAAGTGTTGTGTAAAAAGGAATAATGTTCTATATGGATGTTACATTATTTGTCTTAATGTAGCCAATACAAATACTCTATAGCTTCTTAGAAAATGTCTGCTTTAGATTGGAAGGCACTTCTAGTTCTTACAAACCTAAATATCTTGATTTAGTGTCATAGCTTTTGAGGACAAGGTTTTTGATCCAGCTCTGGGTTTTAGGAGGCTCAAATACCTTTCAGCTGCATCCTGAGTCTTCCTAATGTAAAGCTATGCTGGTGTTAACATGTAATTCAGCCTTTTCTCTTCTGAAAGGTACTTTTTATGCCTAACTTTACTGAGAATAAGAAGGGCAAACGACCTTTAGGGAAGGGAGTCTGGGCTGTACAGTAGAGTGCTTGCTCTCCAAGGAGTCCTTTTCAGCTCTAACAAGTTGGATGAAAAGATCAGCCTGCTGGGCTCCATCTTCTTTCCTGATCTTGTGTTTCCCATGAAAATACACTTAAGAGGAATAGTGTGGGCAGGGAGGGGGCATAAAAGAAATGGGCTGATGCTACTTTCTTCCATTTGAATTTAGCATAAAGGCTTTACGTATTCCTTGGTTAAAAAAATTGAAAGGTATTGCCACTTAACAATATTTCAGGTAGATATAATTCAACTGAGTTTCCATAAACATGCTTTCTTTTCCTCCCCATAGAAATATGTTCTCAAAAACTAGGGCACAAATCAAATAAAACTGTGGCTGTGTAATAATCTTTTCCTAGCAGTAGCTGTGTTCTCATAAAGCACGGATTCTCAAAATATCTTCCAAACGAGATAAGCAGTTACACAGAGCAGTGGGACAGAAGAGCTATTTCTGCACATGTGGGAGAGCTGGGGATTTTGATTTCCAAAAACTGCTCTGAAATTTTTTACAAGGGGATGAAATAGTGCAGTTTAGGTACTTGTTTTTGGATATAGCCCTGAATTTCTTGAACCTTCTGTCCAATGTCTCTCATTTTCTTTCTAGAATGGCCACAGGTGGCAGATAATTCAAGATTTGTTGGGAACTGATCAAGACAATCTTGACTTGGCTAATGTCAACCTGATGCTGGAGCTGCTGGTGCAAAAGAAGAAGCAATTAGAAGCAGTAAGTGTTTGGTTTTTTTTTGTGCCTTTATATATTAAGACAGTTTGAAGATCTGTGCAGAGCAAAGCAAGCTGTTCCTGTGATTGATCAGCGATGTCATTGGTTTGGGAAAGTTAGGTATGTAGCCATTCCATGCCATTGGTTTCAGATGACCATTTTCAGTTATAAGAGCTAGATCTTCTAAATTAAACTGGGTTACAAACTTTGGACAAGGGAAGTCTGAGTAGGATTGAAATGGTGAGGAAAAGTTGTATTGGAAATTGTGTATCTTATTCCTGTAGAATCAATATTTACTCAGTCTGTGCCTCTGATAGTGGCGGAGTAACACAAAAATATTTATTCGAGCCAGATTATGGCGCTCTCTTGGGGCATGGGGGTGAAGTTTTGTACCTAACTCTTTCACTGTCGTTTGGTGATGACAGGGTGGGAGTATAGTTTCTAGCTTCAAAGTAAAACCTCTTTGTTCTCAAGCCTGTTTGTCACTTGGATGAAATGTGAAACAAAGAAACGTGATTGAGCTTATAAGTACTTCTGAGCAGGAAAATCTTGTAAGGGTACTTAACTTTCAAAAAACAAAGTAAAAGCCATCCTCTTACACTTGAAGAATTCTTGACTGCATTTTTCTTGCGTTTACTTGCTTTACTTTTTAATTACAGTCACAGAAGTAGGGAGAGAATAAGAAAATTACAGGGGAGAAAATTATTTCCTTGTAATCCTAATCTCCTTATGTTTTCTGTCCCCTCTGCCCTTAATGGGCTGTGTGTGTTGATGTCGTGAACTTTACAGACTGAATGCTCACAGTCTTCCAGTGGCGGAAATGAACTGTGGAGTACAGGAATACAACTATAGGACTGTATTCTGAAGTGTTTTTAATTCCCTCTTGCGGTCCTCTTTCTCCTTTTTAAGGTTTTAGCAAATTTGGGTGTAATTATGAAGCCAAAGTTTGATGGAGATAACTTGTTATGGAAAGACTAGAAATACATGTTTTAGTTTCATCAGTGACTTTGTCTTCCATTCAGGAAGAATCCTCAGCAGCTGTCATGTCTTTTTACATAATAATTGTTCGTTTTGGGAGATGTTTTTCATAGAAGTATTTCATACTTCAGTGTGCTATTTGCAGAAGTGAATGCTAACAATCTTCCAGGATAGACAAGTGTGCAAAAAATGTGTATTCCAAAAACAATTTCATGTGCAGCATGAAAAAAATGCTTCCTTTTTTTTTTTTTTTAGTAAGCCTTCAGAAATATACAAACAAGAACTGTTACAAGGGTTTCTTCTTTCATGTTAAAACTTGTCATGAACCAAACAAAATCTTTAAAACCTGTGAGGCAAGTAAAACTACTGTTCTTAAAACTGCCTTAATAATCCATTTTCTTGTCCTCATCTCTGAATGAAAGCTGTTTCTTTGCTAAGTGAATATATGAATGCTGTGTATGAATGCTTGTTTCTCGTACTATGAAAGAGTTGCACACCCTTATTTATTATTTTACAGGAGTCCCATGCTGCCCAGCTGCAGATCCTTATGGAATTTCTCAAAGTTGCCAGAAGAAACAAACGAGAGGTAATGTGCTTTGTTTTTTTTTTTCAGTGTGTGAGATGGTGTCTGCTGCTTTCTGTCACTTCATTTCTATTTAAGTGATGTGGAAGTCTGGCACTATCTCAGCAAATAAAGCAAGGCACGTTTGGGGAAGTCCTCGTGCAGAGGACAAACAATTTTCCTTGCAATCTAGTATACTTACCACGTGACAGCTTTTTTTTTTTTTTGCCTTTTTTGTTTCATGCTGATGTGAATTTAATGTAGAATTTTTATCCTCAAGTTATTTTGTCATAGAGTTATTTCCCTTCTTCCAACATGCTTCACCAAGCTCTTCAAGTTGTTTTCTTTTGTGATGGAAAAGTTGTAAGACTGAGAAGGAGTGAAATTGTGGTCTGTCTTAATTTGATAGTATCGAATGCCATGACTAATGCTGTGTCAAAAAAGAATGAATAGTCTGTGCTCTTTTCTTACTTGTCTCCAAATGAATGTCTCAAGGAATGAAAGTTGTTTCCATATCATGCATTGTCTTTCATGGTTTGGAACTTGTTGCTTACTGTCATGCAATAGTATACACTTTGGTAGCAGAAATTTCTCAGAAACCTACAGAAATGATGGTGAAAACCACAAAAGAATGAGCTTTCTGGAGGCACTGTTTTTTGTTGAAAGACAAATCTGAGACCCAACAGCATGTCTGCAGCAAACTTGAATCTCGTAAAGGTGATGCACATGAGCAACCTTGTTCAGAGTGGCATGAGGATTTGTTTACACAAAACTTCCCAAAGGAAGTTATCCTGAACCTGTCTGCAAATAGACATCCATGGCCTTCTGATGAGAACCACCAACAGAGGTAACAGGAAAAAGGGGAAGCCTCACCTGAGAAGTGGTGACAATGTTGCTGATTAGGATACCTGATCTTCTAAGGAAAACAAATGCTAGAGGATATCTTGGGTATCTTATACTAGAGGTGTCAGTGAAGATGTCCACTTATTTTGTTAAATATGAAGCTATTTGTCTGAGCCCTCAATGTTAAGAAAGAAATACATATTCCTGTGTTTTTATCTTGTTTAAACAGCAGAGACTTGAGCACTGCTTGAAACTGCTAAGACATCCTTAAGCTTTCATTTTTTTTAATAGTTATTCTGTAGATTGAGGAGTGTTGTATGTCTGCTATCATTTTTTCATGTAATATTTAGGATTATGCAGATAATGTCACAAATTTGACCTGCCTTCACAGCAGAACTAATGTGGGCTCTGGCCACTGTCCAACTGCACTCAGTAAGTACCTACTGTGAAGATACAGTGCAGCTTGAGGGACTGAGAGATTGCCCAAGTTTCACAGTAACTCTGTTTGTCTGGGAGGCTGATACAGAGCTTGGCTGGGGAGTTCTTTAGTTGAGAAGTCCTGGGATGGTTCAGCTGTGCAATGTTTAAGTCAGTGCCTTGAAAAAAATGACGACTCTGCTTTGTACTACTGCAGCTGAAAGAGTTAAAACAACTCTCCCAGTAGAATTTGCTGTTAGTGCCTGCTTTAGTTTACGTTTGGGTGAAATGCACAGCTTCTGTATTTTCTTGTTGTTTTTTAGCATGTGCAGCGTTCCTCTACTGACAATAATATTCAGCACCTGGGAAACCTTTCCCATATCATCTGTGTTTGCCCTAAGCTTCAGTTGTAATGGACATCACTTCTTAAGGCTAGGAAGGGGGCCTTGGGAGCATCCTGAAGCCTGTTGGGACAGAGGATCTGTTTCAGGTCCTTTCTGTCCCTGCTTATGTTTTCCTTCTTGTTGCCAAGACTACTTCTGATGTTGTTTCTTATCAACCCCCCTCCCCTTTTGTATTCTAACATCAAATGCAGATTGTCACATCTCAAAAGACATTTGTGCAAGCCTGTCAGTTCTGAGCTTGCTGTAGTGGTTAGCATCTGGCCTTGCCATTCATCTTTTAGGAAATGAAGCCTTGTCAGACTTCCACTTGCAATCTTTCTTTTCACTTAATAAGGAAGATAAGAAACAATTGACAGAAGAGTGGAAAATAAAAATTACTAGGAAGGTTTTAGAAAAACTGTTTTCATCAATCAAGGCACCAGTTCTACCAACAGACTAAATTAATCCAGTTGATTCTTTATAGTAATCCCAAGATCTTTGCCATGGTCAGCAATGTTTGTTACAAATACTCCATTCTGTTTTCCAAATGATTTCTTCCAAAGGAGCTGCTGTTTGGGGAAGGATGTGGTCTGTGCCTATGGTGATGATGCATCCAAGTCTTAACCTGCAGGCAGATGTCTGCAGAAAAGCTGAAGTACTAATTTGGAAGAGGGGTTCAAATGACTATCTTAATAAGCAGTAAAGCACAGGAAAGGTTATCAGATCTTTTAGCAGATTTTAAGTTTCTTTTGATGCTTCAATAGGTGATTTTAAGAAATAAAGATGGAACTCAACATGCAAAGACTCTGGAATGTTTAACATATTTGACAGAGCTGTGAGTCATGTAAGCAGGCTTTATTTTTGTGGGGAGAGTCTGAAGGAACACTGCTCTTTTTGTTTTTACTAATTCAAACCTGGTTCCAGTACAGATGACTGCAGAGTGAGTAATTGCAACTTCACTCAGTAAGTTACAGCTTCTTTTGTGTATGATTGAGTGTCTGTTTCAAATTTTTGTTTTAAATCTTCAAAGAAATACAAAATTGCCTGGTAACTTTGTTTCCTAGTGTGCCTCTTTGAATATTTATTGCATGATTTTATTAACAGCTTTTATTAATTACAGACTGCAGTTTCTTCGGGACTGTCAATTTTGTTAGTTAATACAGATCTTGCCCTGGAGTTAGTGTACTTGTATAATATTTCATTACAACATGTTCAGAGCATATAATTTACCACCTGTAACTCTGCTTATTTCACTCATAAAAGTTTTTTCCTCCTACCTTCATGAAATGGTGATGACTTCACTTATTAAAGGGGGAATTGCATCTAGAAGAAAACTCTACAGACTCATACTTAAGAATTCAGAATATTGCTGTAGTCGTCTTCTGACAAATGCTTCTTTCTTGCACTTTCATCATTTCTCCAGAAGATAAATGTGAAGTTCAGCACCTGCAGAAGTTTCCATTAGAAATTCTGTTTTGATGTGTTCATAACTTTCCAAAACATTGATCTTTCAAACTGAAATTTACTGCATGTGTTTTGCACAAAGGTATTTGCAAGTTCTTTTTCTTTTAAGGTTATGTTTTGTTTTCTTTCTGACCTATGGCAATATGGCTTAAAAAAAATAAATCCTTGGCAATACTAGTAGAAGAAAAAAGAATTTGACTTGGAAAAAGATTGAAAACAAATGGCTGAAGCCTGAAAATATCTTCTAAACAAAATAATGGATAGTTTTATAGTGGATGGGTGTATTGATCATCCACAATAGCTGGTTTTCTCAAAGACAAACTTAGCATGGTTGTGTGCCTTTCCATATGTGTGCAGAGTTAATTGGATGCACACTTCCCTTTTTTTCCGTCTATCAGGCTCTTCTATTAAAATCAGAGATCCAAGGAGTCTAGAAGGTCAAGTTTAATAATGAAAAGCTTGACTTCATGGTTTATTACTGTTCTCAAGGGATACCAAATACATCAACCTGTGACTCTTTTAAAATTAGTAATTTGATGCCATTACCTTAGCTGTGTTGCATAAATACTTTATTCAAGTTTAACTTTGTTTATTTTTAAATGATTGTTTGTTCATTTTGAACACTTAACTGCTGTTATCAGCTCTCTTGCTACCAAAACTCTTCTGTTACCAGTTTAAGGAGACTTAACTAAATACCTTGTCGTGGTTTGAACACTACTGCATGAAGCTAGGTAGTACCATATGAATCTGTGTATTTTGTGTGTATATATAATTTGTCCTGAACCACTTTTAGCACAGCTGCTTAATGGGGAGTCTGTTAAATGTTTCTGTGAAGTAGCACACTTAGGCAAGGTGGATAACAAGTTTAACAACTGATGTCACAAATCAAGTTGTATAGGCGGTATTGTCTAGGTGCATTCATGCTTCTCTTGGCAGCTGTCACTACTTTGTATTTATATTTTTTTATTTCTAATAAAGTCACATTAAGTCTCTCCTATTTACCAAACAAGACCTCTCAGGTTGTTGAATGCTTGCTCAGCATTTCAGAATCATCATCACCCTTTCCAGCCTCAGATACGCATCTATCCAACAGTCTCCAATTATTCCATCCTGTGAACATGTTAAATACTAAAAATAAGAGGAGTTATTAGTTATTGTGGGATAATTGCAGGGAATTATAAGTATGAATTCTCCAGGGGTGTCATTAGCTTGTGTTAATCACTTCACCTGTCAGATCTTATTGTTCTGTGCGTACACACAAGGATGAACTAATGAATAAGCAAGAGGAGGTGACAGAACTGGAAATCAGTCATGCTCTTATGTTGTCATATAGACTTGATTACATTCCAGGGCTCCTGAGGTAAATTTATAGCTATAGTACTCTTTCCTGTGCATTACACTTAAATAATTGGTATTTTAAATCTATTTGCATTTCTAAGCTGCTCAATTAGACTTGAGCTCTGACTGTAGTGATAAGCCAAGGATGCAGTAAGGGTATGAACAGACAGCTGGGGATTACCATAGAAATATCAGTGTGTAATAGCTGAGTGTTATTCCCTACTGAGATGGGGGAGATTTCCCTAAAGAAAGGAGGGTGCAACCTAATGCTAGGAGTTAAGTGGCCTTGTACATAAATTTATTAAACTGAATCCATCTCGGTGTTTAAACAGTTTTGTTCCCTGCCTCAGTGATCTTTCTCTTGCGGTGTACTTCTACCTGACTGTGTCAGCAAGCGTTCAAAGCATCGTCTCTGCAACCTGAACTGGAGGATTTATTTTAAGAGGGCTTGGGAGAAATTACAAATATGAAACGTACTTGGTTAGCCAGCCATCCCCCCTCCTGCTTGCAGGAGTTTTGTGTTAATGAGGATGCAGTCTCCAAACCATTGTTAGCTCTTCCCCTGCTAAGAGGAAATATATTGCTATTTGGAGGAAGTATTGACTGCAGGGAAGAAATATGTCATCAAGACAGGTCTTATGGGTGGCCTGCTCATATGTCTAAAAGGCTTATCTCCCACAATTAACCAATGAAAATAGTATGCAAAGACTTGTACAAAGATAAAAAGAATGCTTCAAAAGAAACCTTGTCTTGTTTTCCACTCATGCAAATACTTCATCAGTAAAGATGTCAACAAATGGAATTTGATGTCAAAACTTGTGGTTTAAGGGCCTAAAATATCTTTCAACTCAGAAGATCGCTTCCTTGCCTACTTGATCTGTGTAGCAGGCTCTGTGTAGTAATGGAAGGAAAACACTGAGGCATATGAGACTTCCAACTGATTTCCAGGGAAAGCTGATCTGAGCTGTATTTGAGATATTGAGTTTTACGGTAAGAAACTTATCTTGCTAGGTATCTGAACTGGGGTTCAGTTATTGATCTACTGAGTTCACATTCAAATTTGCCGGTGGACTAGATGGTAGAAGGACAGGATGTAGAAAGAGGATGTTGTGCGGAGAGTTTTTGTCTTTATTGTATACAGAGTGATGAATGCATGAAGCTTTTGGATCAGAGTGTTGTAGGAGTGTAGCTGACACAAAATAGCTTGTTTCCGAAAGTGTGAGTCCAGAAGTTCTGTTTAAGCTGTTCAGTGGGAGTTACGTTGGGGATTTCTCAGTATTTCCTTAGAAAGTAACTTCTGCTACTTCTTTCTTATCCTTTTTCTAGAATTGGAAAGCCAGTTGGCTGAAGGCAAATGACTGCCTCGTGAGGTTTTCTTGCCTGTTTGTTTCCAGGCCATTTCTGTGGCACTGAGAAATTCTGCTGAGCCTTGGTCTAGATGGTAGCACCTAGGATTCACCAAAGTGAATGAAGAAAGTTCTTGATCCAGGAAAAACAAAAAGCATAAGGTTGAAAATTCCCCCACTGCGCCCAGCTGCGTTTGTTGCTAGATAACCAACTGACATCAAATTGTGACCATGGTGTTTAGTGCTGTATAAGCTGCGATTAATAATCCCAACCTAGATTCTTGAATTGAAAGTCAGGAGCATTTTGATATTGATGGTGCATTTACCACTGTGTAACTGTAGATGGAGGATGTCCTTTCGTACACTTAAACCAGAGCTGAAAGTTGATTTTAGAGAACTTTGTATGTAGATTACCCACAGGGTAATATGGTTAGGTTAGGATGGGGTTGGACTTGATGGTCTTTAAGGTCTTCTCCAACTTGAGCAATTCTGTGATTCTAGACAGCTTCAAATTCAAACCAGAGGGTTTTCGCAAACTGCTTGGGGATCTGAAAGGAATCTGATCTGCAAAGTTGTGTAAGAAGAACGCTATGGGACCATACATTACCTACTGTGGTAACATTTCTTTTGTAACTGTGTGGGGACCAAAAAACGATGAGGGCGCTGGACTGTTTCCCTTGTCAGGAGATGCTGAGAGACGTGGTTCAGAAGAAGACTGAGAGGGGGATCTTTTTCATTCACAATTATAAATGGTAGTGCAGATATCTGGTGGTAAGGAGTGAAGTGGATGAGGCTGGGCTCTTTTCAGTAGTGCCCAGCAGCAGAAGCAGGAGCAATTGGCACAAACATAAAAGTTCTGTGCTAACACGAGGAAAAACTTCTTTACTGTGAGGTTGGCAGAGCACTGTAATGGGCTGCCCAGAGAGTTGGTGGAGTCTTGTACTCTGGAATACTCAAACCCTACCTGGATGCTTTCCTGTGTAACCTACTGTAGGGAAACTTCCTTAGCAGCAGGGTTGGACTGGAGGATGTCCAGAATCTGTTCTAACCTCTGTGGTTGTGATGTCTCTCCTTGGCTGTTACTGTTACTTGCTATTTTGACTACTACTCCTAGTCTGTTCATTTGAACAAGGATATTGCCAGTAGTTACCTTTTATTTTGTTAGTTTTTCAGCAGCCTCTGAAATGACTGAACTTGGAAGAGATTGTTCTTCTGGTGTGGGAATCAAGTTGTGCGCTCTGACTAGAATACTGTGCAGCTGGTTCACTGCATAAGCTTGTTTGTCTTTGAAGTTTTGCTTAGCAGAGACTAGCTCTGAGTTGTACCATTAGCTTGTTTTTCTTAATTGCCATGCGGATCTATGACATCCTATTTTTCCAGTCCATTAGTTCTTGACTTGCATGTTCTGAAGCTCTTTTTCTGGGACCAGAATGTTACACACCTGCTTCTTGTAATTTATTCACAGTGGAGCTGAAATGACTGAGTTTGTTACAACTGCTGAATTGAAGACTTCTGCTTATTCACAGTGGCTCTTTCAGTTTGGGGAAGGCATCCGTGTCTGAGAGTTCATAATAAGTGCTTCTCTTTGTGCATTTGTTTAAGCATTCATTCTAAGCATTATGCCAACTTAATCTAAAGCTTGACGGAAATGATTCTGCCCATCAGTGAGATAGGACTTGGCTTGCTTTTTGAGCCCAACAAGACTGAAAATCAAATGATCTATAAATCTGGGCATATTATGAGGACTATAATTCATTTAGCTTTCCTTAAATGTTTTGCAGTGGCAAGCAATTATAATTCAGCCGTCTCATTTTTCAGATTAGAATTGGAATGAACATGGACTGATTTAAGGACTTTGGTAGACTAAAGCAGAACCACGAGATATTTGAGCTACCAAAAAAGCTGGTCGCAGTGTGAGTACCGGTAACTGGTTTGATGCTTATGGGGTCAGAAGACTCTTCCTGAAGTGAACATGCAACACACTTACCTCATTTTTAGGCTTGCTGCTGCTTGATAAATTTGATTGCTCTTTTAAATGTAACTGGAAGGAAGAATTAGCAACAGCAAATGAAGTCTTGGGTACTTTGGGCACTATGCAGTAATTACTAAAAGCTGGCCAATGAAGTGTATCTGCTCTGGTGCCTATAAAAAGGTCTCCTGGTTACATGATGGCAACAGCCATCAGTTATTTTTCAGTCTTCTAGTTTGGCAGTGGTCCAGTCCATTGTAGAATAGCTCATTTCCTTGCTGTAATTTTGGAACTTCTAAGTGAGGTTTTGTAACTTCTTTTTAAATAAGTTTATAGAAGTAGGGGACTAATGGTATTTGACTGCTAGAGCTGAGCACAGGCAGGGCCCGTACTGTGCAAGTGTCATTTAACTTTACCACTAATCTTGGAGCTGTAGCACCACCTGCTATTCTTGCTGTAGGTTTTGCAAGTGAAAATGGAATTATCTGTTGTATGTAGTGGTTTGTAAATTATCTGTGGCACTCTAGGTTTAAACCATTAAGCCTGTGCTGTCTGTGACTAAAATTGTGAACTGAAGACTTCAGAGTAGGGTGGCTATGATATCGGTACAGCATCATCTCATTCCAAGGAAGATGCTGCCATCTTAGAAATAGGTGTGAATGCAGCAATCCTCTCCTGTCTTCAGGTACAGAAGCATTCTTCATGTGAAAAAGGTAGATTAAAAGAATGGATTTTCTGATGCAGAGCATGCCAGTATTTGCAGTGCTGGTCAATACTGGGAATTTTAGTCTCTAAGCAAAAGATTGTAATTCTAATGGCCCTTGAGGGAATAAGTCTTCAGAAACAATTTGCCAGACATTCTTGGGAATATGTCGTGCTAAGAGTATTATGTAATGCAGTGCTAATAGTTCTAGTTTTAGTCAATTTGATGTAAATAGATTGAGGCAAAAATGTGACTGGCCTTCAAAGAATGTTGTGCTTAATGCGCTTCCAGTGGACTTGCCAACTTGATAATAGCTTCTGGTCAAATGCCAAAGTGCTAGCTGTCTGTAGATCTTAATGGCAAGGTGAAGCAAGTCAGGTGGACTTCTAATTCTCCTAGTTAGGGTTGTGCATGTCGGTAAGTTGGGCTTGCACAGAAGCTGGAGTTGGTCTGTTTAGAGCTCTCACCTAGTATGGTGCATGTGTTTGAATGTTGAGAGGCTGAGCACTGACTGTGTGGGTGTCTGGATGGGAGATGTCTATTGAATAAGGAGTGAGAATTAGAGCTGGTGAGCAGGTGATACTCTTGCTTAGGAGTAAGCAGTAAGCACCAAGGCTGTGGGTTTTGCTGTGTGTGTGATGAGTCAAACCAGGGCAATGTCTGGTTAGAGAGGGGAAAAAAAGTGTGACCCCAAGAAGGGAAAGGAAATGGTAGCTGGTGAGTTTGGAAGAAGTTTCCTTCTGAGCCTTTCACAGATGGACCTTGGTTAGATTGGCTGGAATCTGTGGTGTAATCCAAGGTTTTGCACCTTTTAAAGCAATGCCATGCTTGCTTGGTACCAGGAGCAAATCTCTCCCTGGTCATATCGGGTGTTTTTGCCAATCTGAAAATCTTACTAGAAACTTTAACTTGTCAATTAGTAGATTAACTGCTAGAAAGGGAAGTGCTCGTAATACTTTTTAGCTAAGTATTTCATATTTTTTTCAAGGATGAAGTGACTGTGGTCTCGTTCTTGGGGTCTTTGCCTGATCGTGTTCAGTGCTTGTAAACAAGTTATAAATATCTTGCATGGAAGGTGCTGTGGGAGTGTAGAAGTGTAACTTTGAATGATGTGGATCTTTGTGTTTAAAATAAAAGTACATCATGCTCTTGTTTTGTACCGTTTTACGATAACAACTTTGTCTTAAAAGTAGTTTGTGCGTACTTATGTCAATCTATACATGTGAACATCTGCCTAGCGACTCTTGAATCACAGTTACAATAGTTAAGGTTTCTCTCTGAAAAGATCTTAATTTATCTTGGCAGCGGTGCTGTACAGATTGATTTAGATTTCTCCCATTCTCTTATCCACAGCAACTGGAGCAGATCCAGAAGGAGCTAAGTGTTCTGGAAGAAGATATTAAACGAGTAGAGGTGAGGTGCCCAGACGTTGTTCTGACTGGCAATTTTTCTTTTCCATCAAGCTGTCTGCCTTGCTGTGGGGCTGATGTGTTAAATTTATGGCGGTTGCTTCAGTAATGGGAAAATGAACAGATGATGCTCTTTCTTTAATTTGTTCACATAGTTGATGCGTGCACACTGCAGGTTAGTAAAGGAGGGCTTTATTGAAACCTAACTCTTACGTAATCATATCTTTCAATTTCTTTATGTGAGTAGTGTTTTAGAATTGCTAGAAATCAACAGCCAATTTATTGATCATGATTTATGATTTTTGTGTTGCCCTATTCTGGCAGTCTGTATAGGCTGTTTAAATCTTAGCAACGTGCCACAGTAGAAATGGAGATGCATCAGGGGTGCATGAGAGAGCTATAATGCAGAGGCAGGGTAGGAGCAGAATCAGCTCCTGCTGCATGTCAGAACAGAAACCATCTGCTACTTCCTGATCCTCAGGATCCTCTTGAGATTTTTTTTGTTAAGAATTATTTCTCTAAGTATTTGTAAGCCCATCAGCTCAATCCTGCTATCCTCATTCAGTCCTTCAGGTTTCTGCTTGATCCTTTCCCCCAGTCATCCTAGTGTTTTGATTCAGAGGTAGGAAACTGTTTTAGGAATGCATCAGATTCTGCCACCTCTCTAAGTAGATTTCCCTTAGAGCTTCTTGGGAATCAGTTTGCATGGCTGCTGTTCTTCTTGCTTGCCTCAAGCAGTCAGTCCTGTCTCCCATCCACTGCCCAAAAGCCTCTTAGATTTCTACATTTATGTTGAATTCATGCACATGCTGATGAATTATCGAAGTATAAATAGAACTGACAGCTGCAGGAACTTCCCTTCAGCTGATAACTATGCAAATTGTAGTTCAGCAGATAACAGTGTGTTTCAAGCTGGCTTCCCTGAATCCTTCTCAGCTCTTGGGAAATAAATATGCCTTAGCTTGCTAGACTGGTAAAATAGGCCTTCAAATTTAGGAGAAGCTATTCTTAAAGCTGTGGGGTCCCTTGGAGAATATCTAGCTACCTGGTTTTCTGCTCTTTAATCTAGCAGTTCAGCGGGCTGCAGCTGGGGTATGTATCCAGTTTGTGACAGCGACCTCAGTGCTGACCCCTGAAGCCTGGGATCTCTCTTGTCACAAATACCTCACTTTCTGCTTAACAACTAATGGGCACCTAGTGGGAATCCTAAAAGTAACAGTAACGTCCTGGAACATTTTGCCCCCCTAACTAATGAGCTGCAGCATCCTGCATAGCTTCAATTTCTTAAATGGATTAAAGATACAATCTCGTACAGGGTGCACTGTAGTGATTTAGACTGGAAGTGACAAAGCCAAGTTCATGTGTAAAGTTTTCCTTGTGCACCTACTCCACAGAAGACTCATAGATCCTCTTTTAAGTCTGGAGCACAATACCACCTTTGCCCTGTTGTCTTGTGGCTGTTCTTTCTTTGACCTACATCTGACATAACTTTATAGCTGCGAAGGCTGCTGGATAAAAGTTAGCATGTGTCTCAAAAATATGCTTAGAGCTTGCTTGTTCTGCTGTGCTTAAGGGAGATGCTGGGTTAAGGACTCTTGGATGTTAACTAAATCCACTGGTGTTTTCTCTTTGTTTGAGTATAAACTTTACAACTGCCTTTTGTGGGGCAAAAAATCACTGCAGCTGTGTGGTTCCATAAACCTAGATGATACCTGGGTTTGTCCAGAACAATACCTGAAAGAAAAAATAAATGGAAAAAAAAATCAAGGTTTCTTCAGGTATTCAGCTTCAGGGGGAAGCTTCCAGGAGGGAACTGAAGAATTGAAGCTACAGTTCATTATTTTGTTAGGAAAAAAAATAAATGCAAGTAAGTCTATGTAAATTCCATATATTGAAATGTACCTACTCTTCATGTTTTGTCAGCTTTGCTGTAATCTGGCTTTCTGTTTCAGGAAATGAGTGGCTTGTACTCCCCAGTCAGTGAGGACAGTACGGTGCCACAGTTTGAAGCTCCCTCACCTTCGCACAGGTATGGAATTGCCACTTGGAACTTGGATCTGCAGCTGTACATGCTGTGCTGTACTTGTTATCTTCTCCTTGCCATGCATGAAACACAAGCAAAAGTACCATACAGTACCATACAGTATTCACATGTTTTGATTTTACTGGTATAAATTCACATGAACAAAGCAGTGAAAAGATTGTCCTCTGAGCTTACAGTTGGATGAGAAGTCTTCTCCGATCCAGATGATGTGAGAAGCTGATGGCTTTAGATGTAGGATGGGCTAGTTAACGTGAGCGATAAGCCTTTGCTATGGTATGAAATATTACTATTAAGTATGTATTGGACATTGTGCAGTTCTTTGACATGTGGAAACATAATTTTGCAAGATGCCAGTGTCCTCTGGCTTTTCCACTCCGCATGAGTGACCAAAGGTACAGGCTTACAGAATCAGACTGTAAAATGCACATAGTGTTGATTCGGTTTATCTACTGTCTGCTTTGATTTAATGAAATGCCTTTCTAATAACATATTTTCAATGTGGATTTTAGTCTGGAATATTGCACAGTCTGGTTTCTTGATGACAAAATTACAGATGCTTCTTACATCCAAGTTGCATGTGCCAAGGTTTGAAGTGCTGTGCTCTTTATAGCCACATTTTTTTCAGTTGGAAGAAAGCTCTGATTTCACAGGGCCAAGTTACGTTATTAAACGATCATCTCTCCTACCTCTCCCAAGTGTATTTCTCTAATAGCAAGCGTTCTGTAAGCAGTTGATTCCTGTTACAGAATTTCTTGGTACCATTACTGCAATTAGCAACTCCAAACCTGGTAGCTCAGAAGCAAGCTAGACAGAAATGATCAGATTTCCTCTCCTGGAGAGATGTAGGAACAATGCGTTGGTATGGAGTGCAGCACTAGTGGCTGGGAATTTTTACTAAGTTGCTATTTTTGGATGGAGAAAAGAATCAGTAGTATTTCTAGGAAGTTCTAGTTGGCTTTAATGGAAAGAAGAGGAATATAGCAGAGATGGACGGGAGCAGCATTTGTTGCTTTGTCCTTCTCTGCTTGCCCAACATCTGGGTGTGGGTGTGTTTTCTGTGTGGTTATTGCTGCTTTGCTAAGCATCAGTTTTGTGAAGCTGATGAGATTTTTGTCAGGTTCTGCTAGTTTTCTGGTTGTTGGCTATTAAACAGATTGCTTGTGGTTTGTTTCATGTCAGTGCTGCTTGGGGATAACTTCAGCAAGAGCTGGGCTGAATTTGTTCCTCACACGTTGAGCGCCTTCAGGCATAGAAGCCTTTTTTTTCTGAGAAGATTGTATTTACGAGGAGAAATGTATCTTTGTTACTTGGGGCAAATTAACAAACAACCTCCTGGAGAACTTTATCTGTTGAAATCTCAAATAACACTTTAAGCTCAAGAGTTTTTGTGAGAAGGTTTGAGTATCTGCTGTGTGTGACGTACGCTGATTTCAGTCTACTGAGAATTTCTTACTATTTCTTATGCCTCCTTATTTCATGTGCTAGGGTCAATTGTTCTCTGTCCTTGCTTTTGAAGATGTAAGATAGTGTCCTGAATAGTGCAGGGAGTTTCAGCTGAGGCCTGCTGGGAGATGATGGTAGGTCAGACCATTGCAGCTGCTGAAACCATGGGACTGTTTTCTTAGTGGATCCTTCCTATGCTTCTTCTGTTCTATCTCGGCTGTGTCTGAACCTCTTTCTCCTTCTCCTTTTGTACAACATAATACTAGGACTGTGATATATATACCACAAAGTATATAGTGTCTTTCTGCACTACGTGGATTTGCTGATTGCTTTTCTGTTTCTTGATGGCATTGCTGTGTTAAGAGTAGTTGTGAGTAGTGCAAGAGGAAATAGTAGGTGAAGGCAATGTCTGAACAGGCATCCTTAGTTACCTGGCTCTTGTGGCTTCTATCCCTCCCTGATCCTGACAGATGATGTGGTTTTATGTAATACAGGTAATTGAATTGGCTTAAATTACATGAAGTCTGATTCCGGAAACTTCTACCACTTGAAATTCTTCTTTCTTTTTCCTAACGTTAAGTCTAAGTTTTGTGGAGTATCTCCCAAATTAGCTGTGATTCCTGCTTGGAAAAGAGGGGTGCAGGACAACTGATAGGAGCTTTAAAATCTGCAGGTTTTTCCCGTTCTGTGGTAGCTGATATATTTAATGTTCCAAGTGCTTTTTATTGGTGCTGTGAATCAGAAAGGATGAAACGCAAATATTTTTGAGGTAGTTTCACTTCTCTGTTAAAATGATGTTAAACTGGCAAAGACTTTTTTACACATTACCTGAGTTAAAGTGGTATATTAAATTGGAGTATAACTTGTTAATATGCTAAACACCTTGATAAAGAAATACAATCAAACTTACTACTACAACTCATAAATAGCATAAGGCTATCATAGATCCCTGCTGAGATAAAAAAAAAAACAAAAAAAAACCCACAAAAAACACAAAAAACCAAAAACAACTCTATAGTCTTTGAATTTAAAGCTCAAGAACATAGCTGTCTGCAAATCAGCTTTATCTGGTCTCCAGTGACTTGCCCTTATTCAACTACTTGCTCTAAATTACATCCTTGCTTCATTAATTCTTTTCATTGTTTGTTGCTTTTTTCAAGCGTCCTCAACGTCTTCAAAATGTGGAATTACTGTGCCTCCCCCCATCTTCCATTCTGAGTCGCTTAGCAAGAAAACAAACACAACTATCATGTTCAGAGCGTTCTCTGTTCAAGAAACAAGTGTTTTTTCTTTTACGCTTGTATAGGGCGTGAGGAAATATTCAATTGAGTAATAGCATGCCACTTGTTTACAGGACTGCAGCTTGCTGGGTTTGTATACTAATAGAGAACGGGAAGAATAGGAAAAAGAACAAATAGTTCTGGGTTTGTCAGAACAGGCTTGTGTGCTATTTTTGGTATGGGTAGATGTGCAAACAGGAGATAGAAGCAGCAGCTTCTCTGTGGCTAGGTATTCAGGCAGTAATAGCAATTACAAACCATCACTCTAATAGGTGTTTCTGGGGAGAAATTCTGATGTTAAAAAAAAATTAGTTGCCTGGTAACTCGGCCTCAGTTACCAAAATCCTGATCTCCTTCCCCTGAATTTGCTCTTACCATCTCATAAGAATGTAACAAACGTGATTTACAGAGGCACGTTGCTGCGTTGTTGTTCTCATTCCAGGTTTTTAAATACATCGTTTTAGTGTAGCTGGATTTCCTAATTGAGCCTGCTGCTACAGCTTCTTAAAAGGAGTTCAGAGGAAACTTTGATTTTTCTGATTATTTGCTTCCCGTTTTTTAAATGGGAAACGTGCAAACATATGCCAGCTTAACTCGGCTTCAGGCTCCATGCAGAAACAGCTTTGAATTTGTATTCTGGTTAGAGAAATGACGTCTGCACTCCTGAAGGCTTTACATCACCAGACAACCTGCAGCAGAACGAGACTAGATACCCTAAGTCTGTGTGTTTTGCTGTTAATTGCTGCTGTACCTGTCTCGGACTGGAGTACTTCTTCATTGCTTTCCAGCCGAGTGTCTTATCCATGCTGTTCCTGGCAGGATCTACTGTATGTGTTTCATTATTTCATGTGGCCACATCCTAATTTAAAGTTCATTGTCCATGACTGTGCCTGAAACAACTCTGCTATTTCTCCTTTGCAATAGCTAGCAGCAAATAATGATTTCTATCCCTTAGATTTTCTTTGTTTGCAGCTTTTGTCTTGCTTGTTACAGAACTCCAATCAATCTCATCTTGCAAGTTAGCCACTAGCGATACTTTAAAATCATCTCTCATCTGTTTCTACTTCCTTCTACTTCCAGGAGAGCTTTAAAGCATTCAGAGAAATACTTAAGCACCAATACCACTATTTCATCCTCCTAGACTTGCAGGTACCCTGACTGGTGTTCCAGCCAGACCACTTGATTCATGACCAAGAATGTCATGTCTGCCCATCTGTTCTGGCAGCCATTACCTGAACATCAGTACATGCAACCATCTCTTCCAAAACCAGGACTTATAGAAATGTTCTGGCAGCTTTTTAAAGAAATGTTCAGCTCCTCCCAGGCGGTGCTTAAATCTAAGGTTAACTTATAAGTAAAGCTGAGAATAACGAGCATAGCTTCTGTCCAAATCAATTGAAATGACACAGCAGAAGTGTTTCTGAAAAATCCTTTTTCTCCAAAAATCAGAAACAGTGATACTTGTAATGTGTTATTTATGATTAACAAAATGGTGTTGTGCATTTAAAAATTTTTAATAGGGGTGCTTTAAGCTGACTTCATTGCTTTATTTGTATTTTGCCCGTAAACGAAAGCGTACTTAGCACCTTCTTTTTGGCTCTATCAGATACCTTTGCATTTTTGAAAATGAAGCATTTGGAGTTGGCATGTGTATGTTATGTTTTAAAAGCAGTGACTTAGATATGCTGTGTAATTATAAATACTAACTATGGAACTGTATGTAGCATAGCAGTTTCTAGTAATAGCACTCTTGGCCGTTGGTATTTGAGTTTAGTTCTGTATTTCGTTGCTGATGTCTGTTCTGTGTGTGTTCAGAGATGTCTGGAACACTTGTGTCTTTCTTAAGCTGATTCCTTTAGGTTTTTCTTCACACTGCTGTTTCAAATGCAACAGATTTAAATTTCTCTTTTTTTAATTTAAAGGAACTGAAAACCAATTGGTAGCATGTTATTTTTCAGGATGTGTTAACCTGCATATTTCATGCAAAAGATATGCATTTGCATTCTAATTAGAAATTATTAGATTGTACTACACTAAATTGTGTGTGACAGTAAACAAATCTATTGTATGTACAGAGCTGATCAGCATTCTATTCTAGACATTGTGCATTTAAAAAAAGAACAAAAAAATCCATATTGCTCCTGTATCCCCAAATAAAAAACAGCATTGTGTTCCATGTCTATAAAATGGGTTTCAAAGGTAAGTATGCTACAGGATGTAAAAAGGTTGGGGGAGAGTAGAAGAGGTTGGAAATAATAAAGGATGGTTGTACAGTGATTTAAGCAGACTATTTCTTTTGTGTTTGCAGTAGTATTATTGACTCCACGGAGTACAGCCAGCCTCCAGGCTTCAGTGGCAGTTCTCAGGTAAGGTAATACATGTGTCTGTGCACGAGGGGAAAGGAACAGTGGATGTGGAGACATCACAGCACGACACAGACCATCTCCAGGGTGCCAGTCAACTGGCCTCTTACTTTAACTGGTTATGTGGTCAAACTGGAGCTGAAACTATAGCGGTAGGAATGACTGTGCGTAGCTGTGAATATTCACAGTGGTGCAAGCTAAGAAAATAACTGACTTATTAGGTGTGTGACTTTATTCCCAAAGCTGACTCTTCCAGGGCAGAGAGGATATTTTCTGCTTTTCATCTCCCAAGTCAGCAGTGTTTTAGAAGAGAGGTAAATCCCTGACGCTCTGCATTGAATTACATAGCATTGGATCAAGTCTGACTTCTAAACCAAGAACATTCATTCTCCAAATATACAGTTGCCTTGTAGTTTATCATTGTTAGTGTCTTACAAATTGTAGTAAGAATTCATATTGTAGAGGGCAAAAGGTTCAGCATACAGTGAGGCCATTTGGCAGGCAGCCTCCAAACTTGATCTGACTCACACAGCTTACCAAATGACAAATAGCACTGCTGTGGTCTTGCAGTTCAGAGTGGTTCATCTGGGCTACAAAGATGACACTGGTATCCAGCTCACTGAATCAGAGGGGTTTTGACTATAGAGGTGAGTTTTTATTTAGCTAGGCTGTTGTTTATGTGTTAACTTGTGTCTGAGGTGCTTTCTTGTGTGCTGCCACAGAGAAACTCAGGAACTGGCAAATTAACAGAAGTGCTGCTGGATTTTATTTGACTAAGTAACTGATATCAAGAAAAAGCACCTAAATTTTGAGCTTGAGTGCATATGCAGAATTCTGTTTGCAGCTGTATAACTTATTAGTAATGAGGAGTTTTTTCAATCTGTGTAAAAAAAGTTTGTTGTTCCTTCCTCTGCAGTCTGTGGGGTTTTTGCTTAAGCAAAATGTAACGTTTCTACCTTACTGTAAAGGGCACATGAAATGTTCATGGGGATTTTATGTTTGGGACTGATATGGTGTAGCGTTTGTTCCCTACTGACACTACTTGTCTCAGTACTTTAATTTTTCCTTTGAAATGGAAAAAAAAAATACCATAGCTGTACTGCACAGAACAAACAACCTAGATTTTCTAGTCATTCAGTATGACAGTCTTATTTGTTTGAGATTATTTTTTGTCCTGAAATCCAATTTCTTTGTCCTTGACAGTGCAAGATCTACACTCTCTAGTGCAAATTTACTAATCAAACTTTAATGTATGTTTGGATGGAGAGTTGAGAGGGAACTCTTAAACACTTCATTCAAAGGTAGTCTCATTTCAATATGACTTCACAGTAAAAAGTTTTTCTGCAGTGAGGCTGTTTCTAAGAATTTAAATTCAGGTGCACACTTTAAATTGTCAGTCACGACAGAGATTGCAGATTTTTACAGCTGGCAGTGTGCAACTTAGCTAGAAAGGGCAGCATAGCTTGCTTTCACAGTGCAATTACTTTTTGCATTGCTTGCAAACATGTTAAGGAAGAGTTTATGTGTCACTGAGCCACAGGACAATTTTCTTGCAGAGGCTGAGCTTCAGAAGAAAGCAGTGGACAAGTTGCATAGGCACTAGGGAGTTCTGCAGGTAGTATTTAGTTGCAGTACCTGGCTTTTCTGCTGAAAATGAGGAGCTTGTGTGCAGCTGTGAAGGTTTTCCACGGTTGTTTGAGAGGACTCTTTAGGGTGCCTACTGGACTTCAGACAGAAGAATCACTCTTGATAAGGGTAACCCTTACTTACCATTCTCAACTGGAACAACACTAATAGCTTTCTCAGTTTTTAATATAGCAAGCAGTTGAATAGAAAACACTGGATGTGTTTTCACTGCTTTTCACTCCTTCACTGCCTTATTTTTTCCACTCTTGTTTCCTAGCATTGCTTAACAACTAGCCATCAAGCAGTCTTCTCTGCTTAGATCAATAAATGTTTTTATAAAAGCCTGAGCAGCTTTAAACCTCTTGCTGCAGAGTCTCAGCTCAAGATGCAGTCCGATTCCCAGCACAACTGGGTCACCAGGTGCCAGTGTGAGACTGCTCCGAGGGAATTTTCCTCTGCTGATGTATTACCCAGCAGGCGAGCTACTTCAAAACACTGATGCTTACCTCCGCATGGACTGGACACATCCAGCAGATCAGAGATGAGCATGGCTAATATTCACTCATCGTGTCACAGGCTTGTCTGTCTTAACGAGACTGGAGTGATTGTTCCTTGGTTCTTGAGTCATCTTGAGCCCTTATCACGTCTGATGTGTGAGGAGAGGCTGGAGCCCTTGCGAGCAGGGGTGCAAAATCAGGGGAGCGATTCTGTAAAGCGTTCCGTTACATCTCTCTTAAAGCTGTTATGCTTTAGAAAATTATATTCAAAAGGTGTTGAGGTAGGAGTGCTTTCCAGCACTGGAAATGGTTTTGAGATTGGAGCTGCTTTCAAGATGAAACGAGCTGTCGAGCCATGAGTCACGATGTCAGCACATAGCCAGGGGCCTCACACGGGAAGTGGCATCTGGAAGTTTCATTGCTTGGGGTATGTTTCTTCCCTTGAGCCTTAGGTTACTGTTTGTACAGATATAAGCAGAATCTCAAAGTAGGCTTTAAACTTTGTTTATTCTTGTTGGCTTCTTGATGGTTGTAATGAGAGCAGCCCCATTCTGCCTTGTTATTTGAGGGGGAATTGAACCAGTGTTCTTCGTGGCACATGCTGAATGAGTTTTATTAGTGCTTGAGAGGCTGTACCCCTGGTGTGTGTTCAAGGGTATTGTGCCATAAGAAATCTTTGCTGCAGAGCTATTGGTTCTTTTTAAGTTCTCCCATTGTCTCTGAGTGATGTGTGAGACTTTTGAAACACAAACAAAAGCAAGATGCTCTTCATCCCTGTGCAGTAGAGGAATTTGTTCCTTTCACTAGTGATTGAAACAAGAAGCACTTTGTTTTCTATTTGCTTTCAAAGGGAGAGCTTGCTTATGTAGTTTCAGTTCTCCCTCTTAGCACTGATGCTTGTGTAGGTTGGGAAGTGGTGGTTTTTTGTGTTTCATGGACATCTTTTCAATTAACCTTTGAACTTAGTCTCTTAGTGTATTCCTGCTTCTTTCTTCCTTTGTTTACTTTTATAGGTACTGAGTTACTTCAAAAGAAATAATTCACTAACTAACTCCTTAAAATAAACATCCCCTGCTCTTTATCACTGGTTTGCTAGGGATCTAGGAAGTAATTCTTGTACAGACCATTTGATTTGGGAAGCTGAAAGGCTGTATGTTGGGCCTCTGTCTATGTGCACAAATGCAATATGTGGCTCCCCGTGGGTTGCTGTCATCTGTCCTGTGTGTAAAGTTAAACTTGCAGAACTTCAGAAAACCCCTATCTAAACGGAGCTGCTCTTGCTTCTCAGGTTAGAAGGTGCAGTGCGACACCCTGGTTGTGACTTGATAGTAACAAGATATTCTTCATTGTTAATGTAAAATTCTGACTCACCAGATACAGTGGATAAATTGTATTTCAGTTTCTTGAAATCTATTGAAATAGACCTCTGGCCTGGCTTTTCCTCTCTCAAGAAACATGTTCTCTTCTCCATTCAGGCCAAAAAGCAGCCATGGTATAACAGCACGCTAGCCTCGCGACGGAAGCGGCTCACAGCTCACTTTGAGGACCTAGAGCAGTGCTATTTTTCCACAAGGATGACACGTGTCTCAGGTGAGTTCCTCCTGCTTGGTGTTCAACTTCCAGCATCATTTACTTTTCACAGTCCCACTCTTCAGGAAAGCTTCACTTTTAAGAGAGAAGCCTTGAGAAGCCTTTGCTTTTTCCCTGCCTGGGTGTGTTGCTGTACATATGCAGGTATTACTTCAAGTCATCCTGCGTAGATTTTTCTTGACCAATTTTTGAGATTTTTAAGCTATAAAATGTAATACAGTTGTTTCAGAGGGGCGCGCATGTTGCTCTGTAATGCTGTACTGTGAAGGTTGTAACCTCTAAATAATTTTTCACTAATCTTTGTTCTGAAGGTGCAGACATTTGAAAGCAGTGGCTAGGTAGTCTTTCTTCTAGATGTGGAATAAGTAGAGTCATTAAAACACTTATCAAAATACTTGAGAGGTGAAAACAAATTGATAAATGTTCCCATACTTAATGTGCGGTACAATACTTGGAGATCCAGATTGTGAGTCTTAGTTAACAAATGGCTTGAAGTATAGAAGCTGAGTGTGCAGCAATGTCATTATCCCATGGGGCACACCTTAGATTTAAGACTTGTTTTGTAGAATTAGAAGCTGTTTTCACAGTTGCCTAGATTGCCTCATTCATAATTGAGTATCAGTGTGACAGCAGGCTAGAGTAATTGTTACATGGTTGATGGATGGTTCTTAATTATATAACAATATTCTCTTTGGAAGTGAACAGGTCAAATAAATGCCTCTTAAGGGAGAGGAAGGTCGCTCTTTGGCTCCCCTGGGGAAGAAGCAAGCTTTTGGGAAAAAAGTTTTGTGCAATGGGCTGTGTCAGGCAAGAGATGTGCAGCACCAAGCGAGCAGCAGCTTATGCAAAGAGGGAGAGGCTACAGTGAAGAGCAGGAGCTACTGGGGGTTGAGAAAGAGCCTCAGAAGCACAAAAATAATGCAGGCAGAGGCTGCTGCAGCAGAGCATCTTTACTTATAGACTTGGAAGGCAAGGACCAACCTGTCAGGACACGAATCAGCAAGCAAGCTGGGGCACAAATCCCTGCTCCGTGAATACTCTGTTAATTTAGTTTGAGGTTTGGCCGCTTAAAAACTGTCAAGCTTTTAAAAAATTATTATTAATAAACAAAAAAACCATGGTCTTTTCATGTTCCGAGGCTGCCGAGTGTTTTAGGAGAACTCACTCTCAGGTGGAAGATTGGCGCATGTCTGTGTCAGAGCAGTGGCTGACTCAGATCCCATCGTGTCCAGCAACACAGTTCTAACAAACTGTGGCACGATGGGCTTCAGCAGCTGGAAGATGGGAGGAAGGCAGTTGTGTATGGCCAGCCAGGCTCCTGCAAGGAGCTCTCAATGTTCTGCAGGCTGCAGTACTTCACAGATCATGCAGAGATGCTTCCGTGCGTGTTATCTTGGTGATACGGAGCTGTTTTTGTTAAAATAATACGTTTATTAACTAAGAATAACAAATTGGACTTTTCCCAGCACTCCCTTGTTGAAGACATCTTTCTTCATAATTGGAACTATAAATATGAATGCGGAGAAGCTGTTTTGTTTATGTGTGTGTCAGCTGCACCAAAAGTGGAGGATTTGCTACTGCAGTTTTTGCCCTAAATAAGGGATAACCTGTAATGCTTAATTAGATTTTCTTCTCTTCAAAGTCATTCCTGATTTTTGACACATTTTAAATAGGATTTAATATGGGTATAAAGGTTTTTGCAAGAGATGCCTGAAAATCTTCTAGTAAGGAGCGGAGCAGTAATACAGCTGGAATTATGAAATGGCCTCACACTTTGACGAGGAAAATGTCTTGAGAAATAACATTCCGTTTTGCAGGCTTAGATGCAGAATAAATTACAGGAGGACTGTGTGCTTGATCTCTAAATGAGGGAAATGGAAGAGCAGCAGCTATTTGCTCCTATTAAAGTGTCAAAGGAGGAATCAGTCTTTGAAAAGTACTTACAGATGTTTATGTACTGCTTCTCGAACTGTTTTCTGTAGTGGTCAGGTGCTGAAGGTTTAATTTAAAGCAGTGCTTTGTTCATTTAGATCTATCTGACATGGGTAATGTACCTGTGGCTGTACCCTGTAACATGCTTACTACTGAACTTCACTATTTCTTTATGCAATCAAACATTAAACAGCTTGCAGGGAACGCTTCAAAATGCCATACGGTTACAAAGCAAGATCACTTCTGATGGCAAGAAATTACCAAAGTGCAGAAATTTTAGAAATAACTGTTGCAACTTTTCTCCTTTTTTCAACCCAGTGTTTCCAAAGACTTCCAGTAAGTTGAGATTTATCACTTTCTTATGCATTTGATAAGAGAAGCTTAACTATAGCATAATTTAGTGACCTCGGCTGCACAGGCAAGTGATGTGTACCTTTCTGCTGCTGCAGTGGATGCTGTGGTTTAATAAAAGGCAAAATATTCAGTAGTGTGACTTGCATACTGGACTACCTATAATCCAAAGTGTTATGTGTTAGAGCTGTTGCTGCTCCCTGAGCTCGTTCTTTTCCATGGTATTGGAGCAGAAAGACAAAGCAAGTAAGACAGGAGGGAATTGCTGCAAATTCCGGGGGTTGTTACACAGCCTGAGGGCTCTGTCTGATGTTTGACTGCAGTTGCTTGATCATATTAGGAAAGCTGGCTTGTCCATGAGACATGGCTGTAAGTTAGGAATTCTTCCTTATATAGGAAATTCTAAATTTTGAAATGGTTGAAATAAAATTCCATTTGTACTGAAGAAAGTTAAGACTTGTGAGGTTTCGGGGAATAATTTTTAGCCATCTATACTGCAATTTAGTTTTAACGTTTGTAGTGAACTGTTCCATTTTCCACAGAATATTCATCATTATTATTCACGCTGGCTCAATTTCATCTTGTCTGCTGAAGGTCATAATTTCACAAAACTTACAGCACATGGAGTCTTCTGGTTTCATGCTTGTCTCCTTTCTCTAGCCGTGAAACAGCTCTCCCTTAGCTCTGTTGCTTTTGGAGTAACAAGAGAAATACTTCTTGCTACAAGTATTTTGAATGTAATTGACACCAAATGTAGGCATATTGTACCTGAAGTACAGTTCTGGGGAAAAGGAGTATGTTTTCACTTCCATAGAATGTTAGACATTCTATACCATGCATTTTGATGTGCTTAAGGCTCTTCTGTTAATAATCCTTATGGCCCATAGGCTTTGTATGTGACTAAAATAAGTGAGCTCATCTATCAGTAAAGCATATTTATGATCTCTAGGCAGATGCTCAATGCAGTAGGTTCATTGGAAGGACTGAATTTGTGCTCTGAAAATACTGCTGCCTTGAGGGAATGCCAAAAAGACAAAAGAGAGAACCTATTTTTGACCGAGAATCCTCCCCAGATAACAAGCAGAGGTGTTATCACATGAAGACATGCATCATGTTTGCCGTTGTTAACTTCCTTATTCATTTTTCACCCTCTGCAACTCTCCTACCTCTCCCTAGATGACAGCAGAACCACAAGCCAGCTGGATGAATTTCAGGAGTGTCTGTCCAAGTTCACACGCTACAATTCTGTCCGACCCCTGGCAACGCTGTCCTACGCTAGTGACCTCTACAATGGCTCCAGCATAGTCTCCAGGTGAGAAATATGGTGGCTCTAGCAGTGCATTTCATGGTGATACAGGCTGCTGAGGCAGAGTTAATCACTTGTACAGATCATAACTTGTTTAATATGGTGTGTAAATGCTTTGGCTTCACCAAAATAGTTCTGTGATGAGTGTGTGGTTATCATTGATCTGTGAAAGCACTTGAGTATCCAGTAGTACCTTTTCTTCCAGTTGATATAGATCAAAACCAAGTGCAAAATCTTTGAGAAGCCCTTGTGGTAAGACATGAAGTCTGCTGTAGGCTCGGTCCCCTTCATGGTACAGTTGCATTAAAAAATAATGGAGATCTAGCACTTTAAGCCATTTTTCCTGATGTTGGTAACTTTAGGAATCTGTGGTGTTATTAAATCTTGTTTGTGGAGCCAGTCGTAATGGCGAATATTAAATAGCTGAGTTGTTTGTGACTGCGATTACTTGACCTCTGCTAAGCGTTGGAAGCTTTTTTTGCTGTGCTTAAACTAGTGAGGGGGTGGTTATGGTAACGTCAACACAATAATTCCTTTCGTGCCAACAACAACTCTGCACCCTTTGCTGTATGGGAGGCTCATGTCTTCTGTACCAATAAGGTCTGAGCCTGCAATGGACCTGTTTGGACATAAAAGCCGGTGAAATGTCTTTCAAGAGAATCAGTTTCTTCGAGTTTCATCTCATGAACCAGCTCCCTTAGGGATCAAGCCTGAGAAAGCACACAGAATAGGGAGAAGCTGGGACCTGCCAGCAGGCCGTACTTTAAACTGACTTCAGCAGCTGTGGAAGCATTCCCTGGGGGATTTAATTAGTCTGTGGTATCTTGGTTAGAGCTGTTGGTGGTGTTGGAAAAGATGATGCAACATGTTAATTGGGATTTTTTTTTCTGTATGGCATGCAGAATGCAATACCTTCGCAAATTTTAAATGCAGTTGTGGAAGTAGTATCATCATTTATAGTTAGGGAGTGTGAGTTCCAGAGGCCATACCTGGAGTCTTGAAAGAAATTCTACAATGGCATGATGAATTGAAGTTGGACTATGAGCCTTGGTCTAATGCTGTATGACAGAGCCATCCAGACAGTGACAGAACAGCTTGGGTATTTCTTGAAAGGCTACAAGAAATGTTCTGTGAAGGAATCAAGGCATGTGTAGTGTAAAATACATATTTTTTTAAAGCAGCACTGATCCCTTAACTACTGCAATATGTAGCAGGAATGTATAATGTCTGACTTAGTCACGGAGGTCAGAACACAATAATCACTGATCTGACGTGTATTTAACCTGCACTGATTGGGTTCATGCTAGCTGCAATGAAATGCAGATGGGAATCTCACTGCAACACAGACAAACTTCCTCAGCTACCAACTTGAGCGTGGATTGGATTTTTCTCCTTTGCCCTTTCTTCTCCTTGACATTCTGCAAGAACAGCATTTTTGTGGTATTTGGTTAGAAAATACTGGAAAGGCAGTAAATCTCACTCCGGTTTTGAAGGTATTATAATTCTTGGGTGAAATATACTTTTGAATAGTACTTCACTGCTGTTAAAAATGAAGATAGTGTGGGTCCTCCGTCTGAGCTAATGATAGAATCTGTACTTACCTAATTTCCAACACATTTAACCCCCCCAAAAGTATGGCTTCCACCTTCATGTTTCTCCCTTGCTTGTGCCATTTTTAATCAAAGCATTTAAGAAATGTTTAGGGGTTTCAGTGTGTGGGCTGAGTTAAGACAGTTCGTGTTTGAGTGTGTCCTTAAGTGCCTTGGCAAAGCAATGCTGCCAAATGTGCTGCCACTGCAACTCCAGTTGGCTTCTGGCTCTAAACAATTCCTTCAAAGTTTGAACTGGTTAATCAAGAGTTTATATGTAAAATTTGCTGGCCAACGCGTTCAGTCTTTCACCATTGTTCTTTAGCCAAATTAGTAGTCTCAAGTTTAGAGACTCTTAAACTATTAACTGAGCTAATGTGAACCAAAACTAATCTGTCTAGGGGAGAACATACGATGATAGAAGCTTGTAAGTAGTCATGATTGGGCCAAATTAATTAGCAGGGTGCTATAAGAAGGTTTCTTACGGAGTGAAATGCTGTCCGAAGTTTTACTGTTTATCTGGACCTCTGTTGTACTGATTCCCAAACTTATTTCTGGATGTGCTGCTGGAAACATCAATGAAATAAAGGACGAAAGGAGAAGTCTTGCTGCTTAGCTGCTGTTGACACAAATGCATTTAAATAAAAAGCAAATATGACTTATTAGTAAGTAATCCTCATCAATTCACTCCCCTCCCCCCCCAAACAAGCAAACAAGAAACCCAACAACCAAAAAGTGGAGAAACAACCAAAAAGCAACCTGATGGTGCTTTTAAGGGATATGTCAAATATATTTAGAAGTGGAACATGAGACTGACCTGAAGTTCAGTTCTCTTGTGTGCAGTTTAGCTAATAGTTTTTTTAATAAAATGACGGTATGAACCAGCAGAATACAAAGGTGTCTGGTTTGCATTGCTTTAACTCCACAGCAGTTCATATGCTGGACTTGGAGATCTCTGCTCTCTTCTAACAGAGAGGTGTTAAGATATATTAGCTCTGCGTGCAAAGGACGTTAATGGAAACATGTTCCTTATCAGCAACGTTTGTTTGTTTAGAAGGGAAATAAAACCGGATTTATGGGAATGGGATGAAAAGTGTAATTAAAGGCTGTATATAAGCCGACTGAAAACCCCCAAAGCTGAGCAGCAGTCTCCTGAGCCACTTGCCACAAGCATATTTATGAATGCCTGGGCTTCTTGAGGGCTAGTGAAAGCTCATAAACAACCCTGGGCACGGTGTGTTACCTAGAAGTGTTTTGGTGAAGCATGAAGCTGTTGCTGCCTTCCAGAGCAGGGCTTGTCATGTCCTCTGATGCAGCTTTCCCCAGCTCTGAGTGTACCCTGGGAACTCTTCTTCCTGGCTCTGCAGTCCTGCTGTCCCTGGGCAGCATCCACACGGTGGCAGCCGCCGGTTGCGGTGCTGGGAGCTGGGCAGGGGCTGTGCTCCCTCTGCTGCATCGTCCATCACGCATTAACACTGATTTAATAAGATGCACGCAGCCAGATGGTGAGCCCAGCCTGGGTGATCTTCCTCACTTCGCTTAGAAACGGTGCTCGTGCATGAAAACTACAACACGTTGTCCTTTTTTCCCCTATTTGCTTTGAGAAAAATCTGAACAAAGGATACGGAGTGAAAATATGTGGAAGGATTTGCACTGACCGGTTGTTCAGTTTCACTTCAGCGTTAGGGGCACTTTCAACAGGCCTGCTTTGCAATCGGAGCATACGTGTAGCTCAGCATGCTAAATGTATTTTTATACTCTCAGTTCTCCGAGCACAAACTATTTACATGGCTTTCACGAGTGTATTAAGTTTTGCTAGAATTGGGCCAAGGAATAAATTTTCCGTTCATTATGCCACCAGACAGAGCAGTCGTCAGAGCTTAACTTTTCTTCTCTCCACTTACCGAGGCAGTAAATAGTGGAAGGCTTTCTTTTAAAGATGAGACTGTAAACTGCAGCGTTAGCATTACAATGATTTATGTAGAAAATTGCTTTAGCGCTGTCAGAGGCCTTCAGAGTATAATGTGGCAGTCTTTCATGTTTGAAGAAACTGAACAGAAAACTACAAGAAAGACTGCAGTGGGATGCCTGCCCGAGGTTGGGTTATCAGCACACAGCTTCTCCCTGCTGGGAGTCCTCAGGTCGGGTGCAGACATGGGCATTTCTGCCTCAGAAGCCCTCAGGATTTTTGGGCAAATGCTGTGTGGGTTTTTCTAATCGGCTCACACTGCAAATTCTTCTGGTTTAGTTTTACCACTCCTCTGAAAGGTCTCGAAATGACGTCTGAGGAGGTTTGGATAGACAGAGCTCTGTTTGCCCAGTGATTTAGTGATTTACTTCATTAGAAAATAATAATAAAATAGGTATTTTTTGGCTGCTGATACCTTGCTAATCAAATTAGGGATTTACCTTTTGGAGTCCACTGTTCATTTTTTGGATTTATTTCTTTTATCACTTGCTTTTTATTCCCTTGCCTCTAAGCCATGCACAGGATGTGAAGAGGCATTCCTTGCACTCACACACATACAATTAAGCCACTGTTTCAAAGTTGTGCTTTTGAGTTGAGCCTTTCAGTAACACAACCTGTAATTCTTTCCTCAAAAGTGAGACTAAAAGAAAAAAAAGTCCATTGGGAGCATGTTTTCTATCGATGCACGGGACCATTTTATTTTTCTGCTCCCCTTTTTCCTTTGACCTACGATTACTTTTCATATATATTGAGTTCTGTACTTAATAAGATGCCTTTTTGTTCTATCTAACACGAATCTTTTTCTTTTTTTTTTTATTGTCTTACATCCCCTACTTTTTAATGCACTGGGCTGGCAGGGGTTAGATGAGCCATTTTATTAAGCTGGTGACCGGTAATGCTTCTGTGTTGGTGGTAAAGATGAATGAAAGAAACGTGTGAGTGGGTTTATCCTTCACAGGATTATGTTTCAGAGTGCAATGGATGCTGCTGCTTGAGAAGGTGAGAAATGAGGAGGGCTGAGTTTTTCTTATGGCCTTTTCTTCAAGCGATCATTTTTGAAATAGACCCTTATTTAAAGGTGGCAGTTCTAAACTGTGGATGGATCTGTCTTCCTTGGATTGTTCTCCATAACTGGATAGAGGAGAAATGGTTGGGTAAAGTGACTTTAACTGCAGAATAGCTGAGGATGCTTGAAGTGGAAAGCCCTGAACCTCTTTGAAGTTTGTGCTTCTCCTCTGGCTCTGTTACCTTGATTCACATGAGGTTTTGGCCTACACACCAGAGGTTGTCTGGGGCTGAAATGGAATTTTGTTTACTTAGAGCTGGGCAAAATACTGAACCTTTCCATTACTTTTTCTCTTGAGCGCAGAACTAATGCATTTCTTAGTACATAATTGTGGTCTGGATCCCTGGAGCAGAAGCTCACTATGATGTGTAACCAGCAGAAG